GATTTGATGGTCTCTCCTTCCACATAGAGGTTTGCTGGATAGCGGTAGGTGTTGGTAACCAATGGTGACAGCGATGGACAAAGATGCCGGATGTTCTTCAAACCCACTTGCCGATTTACTCATTTAGGCTGTTGAAGGCATTCCGTGCGTCTGCCAGGAGTACGTCCTCGGACTCAGGGTCTTCATAGACGCTTCTCATGGCGTGGATAGCTGCCTCTATGCCATTGTCATGACCTGTGCATAGCTGCAAACTTCCTGCTGCTTCGCGGATGTCGTCGCCGATCACATAGAGAATTGCCTTCCCTAGAATGCGTCGTAGGACTTCCCCGATGCCGATCTGTCGAACCCCAGGTTGCTTGTCGAGGGGGACCAGCCTGCAAGCAACATAGGCACTCAGGGATGTTGGGTCCAGATAGCTCGTCGCTAGGGTCCGGCGGATTCTGCCAGCAGAAAATTGGCAGATTTCGGTACTTTTTCTGGTAAGTTTCATGCATGTTTGGTATGTGGATGAAAAATGGAGCAGAATTCGAGGAATTGCCCGCCATAAGGTTTGTATGGTTCTGCCAATTTCACTGCTTTTCGAGCAGAATCTGCCACCCTTTCGAGCAGAATCCGCCGGTCCCTACTCGGAGTCGTCGCGAGCCTCCGGGCGCAGCTAGCCATTGTGTCACACAGCCGGTCTGAGGGCAGCCCTGCGTATGAATGCACGTGTCAGCGACTCAAAGGGGTGGGTGTGGTCCCATCATGTTAGGCCTTGACGGATTATGCTAATATTTTCGTGAAATTATGCTTTTCGCATTGCTGAAAAAAATGCAGAATTATGCTATTTTTATGCTAAAAGTTATCATAATAATGCCGCATTATGCTCACATATGCTGCTAATGCATAATGGTTCTGTGCAAAGTAACAGGGGAATTTTTTTGTAGAGGGCGTTGTACTGTAGTAGCAAAAGTTCAACGGGATCAACGCACCGTCCGACCTAGCTACGACCATCACTGATTGTAGTGGGCTGGACATGTTATCAAGGGAGTCGTAAACCTACAAATTCCTAGTGCATCTACTTGTACTTGTACTTGTAGAACATGTACGATGTATGGAATTTGATGCGAACAGGCGGATTATTACAATTTTATGCGATTCGTATGCAATTTGCCTCGAATTATGCGATTATTCGATTTTGGTAGGAATTATGCGAAAAATTATGCTAGCATAATCCGTCAAGGCCTACATCATGTGGAGGTACTGGTGGCTCTCCCGGGATCAGCGCGTGCTCCTGCAATGGCTCTGCGGGTGGGTGCTTGTCCCACAGGATGTCCAGTAGCTGCGTGATGATCGTGCTTCAGGAACCTTGTCTGCAATCTTTCCAACTTGTCTCTCAGAGGCAACTCCACCGAAAAGATCCTCAGATACAACCTTTCACAAGGAAAGGAACAATGAAACAGAAAGAAAGTCTTTGGATTGATTACAAAAGTCACTCAAAAAGCAGCCTCTCCCTCCAAACTGATCAGAAGACCAGCCAAGAACAGTCATCAATCACCAGTGCTCTTGCTCCAAATGGAGCTGTCGCACCGGTGTGCTTCCTGCTCAAGAGAGGATGCTATTTGTCATCATCGTGACTTATGCGGTTGTCTTTGTTAGAGAACAAAGACGGGATACGTACTATAGAAATGATCCTAGTGAGTACGATCTTGGTTTCCTTCTTCCCAGGCATTTTGCTTTATGCCATATCCAGTTCAGTGGCCATATTACCAAAATCGTGTTACCATGGCAACGGAGCAGTACACTTCCGAATATCCCGTACAAAATAATTGTATACAATGTAGATGGTTCTGGAGTTAAAAACCGCTGGGATGATATCGGATACACCGAACCGTCAGACCTCGTTCCCAGACCAGATTTACACCGTCCACAAACATAATAATGGTATTCCAGATACACATGTATATGTACATGTAGATGGGAGAAAAATAGCCTGGAAGTTACTACCAACTACTCTAGGGTTTATCGGGTGTTAGCGGCCGTCGTGAGTTCCCTTCGGGAACGGATACGATAATTTACTTTTTACTTATTTTACTCCCGAGGATATTAGTGGAAGTATGCGAGGACTTCGGCATATTGTATATACCACCGCACACATTTTTTTTTCAAAAATGGACCCGACTTCTGTTCAAGCAAGAGTACATAATAACGAGTACTCTTGGTTCAAGTAATCACATTAGTGTGACTGGTTACCATGGCAACTAAGATGAGACTTACGAGGCTACTTGAGAATGAAACTATTACTAATAATTATTGTTTTGGACAAAAGCATGCATCATGCCTAGGCTGATAAACTACACTGTTGCCATTTTGAAAATGATCTCGTTTCATGGTATATTTGTATACAGTCAGACCTCGCTTATCCTGTCCTCTTTTATCCGGATCCCTCGCCATCCGGCAGAAAACCGTTGGTTACCGATTTACAGCATATGCCATGCATACATACAGTGTGTGTGTTCGATTATCCGGTTAGGGTTCCCTCACCTATCCGGATAGTTTGTTGAAAACGGATGTGTGCGGTTATGCAAGGTCTTACTGTACTCCTTCCTTCTTCCCGGTAACCAACTATTTCTTCCGGGTGGCGAGGGATCCGGATAAAAGAGGCGATAAGCGATGTCTGACTGTAGAAGACATGGATGAAAAAGGAGAACCGGGAAAATAGTCCTCCTTTTATCCATGATAACATTGGCTCAGCGTGCCAGTTCAACTTAGTAGACAGTTAGACATGGTTAGCATTTTACCGTTCACCACAGGGTGTCGTACTACTTATACAACTCCCTGGTTCACCCTAACGTCGACCATTGACCTGTACCTTTTTTGGTGTGTGCAGTTGTGTGCAAGACATGATCATTTCCGTTTCTGACACAACGATAGGAGTGTAACGTCATCCTAAGTCACGAGTTGGAATCTTACCGTTTCGTTCATCCAGTAAGCATGGTAAGCAGAGCCTTCTACCGTCGAAATGAGTATTTTGGGTGGTGGGTAGGAGTACCGTTGGATTTAGCATAAACGGTAAAATGCTAACCATGTCTAATGGCAATGCCTATGACACAGCTCACCAGATCAAGGTGTGGATCGTCTTCACTCGGTAGAGACAGAGTCATCAATACCCCTTTACCGTGCAATGCATGATGGTTCTCTGAAGATTTCTGTTGTACAAAAACAACAGTTTTTCAAGACACGTTGCATTAAAACTGGCAAACAATAAGAGATCAAGAGGGGTCAATAAGAGATCAAGAGGGGTCAATAAGAGATCAAGAGGGGTCAATAAGAGATCAAGAGGGGTCAATAAGAGATCAAGAGGGGTCAATAAGAGATCAAGAGGGGTCAATAAGAGATCAAGAGGGGTAAGTAGCAGAATTCGGCCTTGTCCAGATTCTTATCAACCACCACACCACACCGCTGCGCTCTCTGGCCGACCTCAACACGTTGCCACAGCACACCATCAGCAAAACGACACCTGATGATCGAAACAGCTGCTGTCTGAAGGAGCAGAGTACCAACTGAAGTGTCGTCACAGGCTGATGGTGTGCTGTGGCAGTTACGTGTTGAGGTCGGCCGGAGAGCGCGCGCAGCGGTGTGTTGTGGTGGTTGATAAAAGAATCTAAACAATAAGAGGAGGGAAAAAGTGTAATAAGTTTATAACTCTGAGTTTCACGCACTATAATTGTAAGCGATCATCAGAAACACAGTAATGAGTAAATCTGATTCAGTATTAATTATCACGTGACCCTCAATGCAAAGTCACGTAAATGACTGCATCATGGCGCAAATCTAAAAGGTGCGAATGACAGCAGTGCAAAGCGTAAATGACTGCATCATGGCGCAAATCCGGCAAAAGGTGAGAATGACAGCAGTGGTGAACGGACATCACTTCAAAATTAATGACAAGCACTGGAGCTGGTTGTCTCCTACTTGATTAGGTTATGGCTGCATGTGGATGGTTTGAAGTTCCGAAGGTAGTAGATCTACTGATTCTCGTGGAGACATTTCGACACAAGTTCACTCCTCTTGTTGAGAGAGAGGTGCTTGGGTGCTTGCGCGATTGCTAATTTTTCCGCCAGACACTTTTTGCTTTTAGTTGCTGTAGGCCACTGCTCTGCGGTGTACCGCCCATTGAATGCTGCATGCCTTCCCTTCATCCTTCTTGGCCCAGACGTCCTGTGATAGACGGGTGTCCTTCTCGTGTTGTCTGTAGCAGAATGATGATTGGCAGTTATAGTAGCGTTGTTTGAATGTTGTTGCTGTTAATCCAGTATCATGTGACTCCTTCTTCTCCGTACCTGGGGTGACTCTTGCCTTATAGTTATACACAATGCTCTCCGTTAGACAAGCTCCGTCCAGTGGACATAATTCTTTCTTCCGACAGCCACAAGTCCTGGTGTCGTTGTCACCTCCGTTGGCTTGTTTCTTGGGTCATAGAATCGTAGAATCGTGTTATTGTGTTGTTTGATGATGGTGGCCATATTCTGCATACAACTGTAGCTAACTTTTTCCGAGTTTCGGTTGAAGATTTTGTTGAGGCTTAAGCCTTTAGGGAAGTGCTTGGCCACTAGCTGGAGGAAGCGATGTCCGATGTCGGTGGTGACGTTCTTGCTAAATGGTGGGTTGATGCCTACTGGCACAACAATCAACATACATGTAATGTCAAATGCTCCATGGCATTCAACTGAGTCCACACATCCATGTACCCATTACCACGGTGCCTGGCCGCAAGCTGGTAGTACTGTAGGTAGCAACATGGCTGGAAAATCACTCTCGAAAAAGCCTAGTACATGTTCATGCAGTAGCCTTCATGATCTAAGTATTCATGAGTTAAAACCTGCCTGGTTGGCTTCTCTCTTTCTCTCTCACAAACCTCACCCCGTCAGACCGCGCTGCACGTGCCGCTAAAGGGTTTCGGGTGGTATGGTAGTGGCCACAATGGGGTTTTCGGGGATAGCAACAAAAACGAGACACTCTTCTTTTTAGCAGTTAGTCATCAGAGCATGGATGAATGCATAATATGGACAACCGGCTACATAAGACACATTCAAGTGTTAGTCCTACACACATTCCGCACTACAATGTACTGCAGGGCAGGGAAAAGGAGGTCAGTATATTGACTTACACCACCATTCCCGCAAGGCATTTCAATACTAGTAGTCTACACGACACCGGCGAATTTATATAATGACTGATCATTGCTTGAAATTGACACCCCATTGCGTTCTGTAGCTCACATGTCACATTCAGTGCTCAGCCAATCACGACGGCAATGACGCCAAAAGAACATCATAGGCCACAATAGCTTAAAAGCATTTGGTAAGCGTGCAAATCATTGGGAAGAGTATGATTGTGCCGAGATGGTGATTCCAATTGGTGCACGGTCATACAACACTGAGTGACCAATCCATACGGCACCGTGTATAAACCGTCAATCAGCTTCGGTTTAATTCGCAGGGAACCTCCATACTCGAAGGATGTCATCCACCGAACATGCACGCTTGGCGATCACTGGCGGCGAAGCGATTATATTGCTGGCGGAAGTCACTGTTGAGTCGCTGGATACATTGACGGTATGATGTGAGGCTATTGCCGCCCGTCGCGAGCTCTGGGCAAAAGTCAATTGGGCCTGTGAGGGACAAACAGCATAAATCTAAATGTGAAAGGAAAGTATTTTCAGTCCAACAGCAATTGGAATACATGACGACTATACAAGGTTATCTGGCTGTAACACCTGTGCTGGTGTGCTGGAGAGTTCATACACATTATGTTGAGAGATCTTGATGTAGTTGGTCACCCCAAATGCCGGTAACTTCACACAGCTGTATGATGTACATGTTGTGATCTTGCACTGGTCAGTCACTGAACTGATTTTATTGTAAAGAAGACACAGACTTATAAAGTCTGAAGAAGAGTTTTATTTCTATTTTTTATTTATTTATTCAACATCTCCTGGCTCGTCGTAAGACTGCCAATATTTATGAGAAGTCGGGTGGTAGCCAACCACAGCGAACTAAACAATAAGGAGAGAAACAAAAGAGAGTACAGCAAGGAGAGGTATGACGAAAATGGTGAGATTATTTAGGACGAAGAAACTGAAGCTTTAACTCCTTAAATATAGCGAGATAGAGAGCTGTGGAAGGAGAGCTGCTGGACAGCTGGATAGTATCAATAAGCACACCAGGGGAAGGCTAGACAGTGTGTCTCTAGACATCAATAGGTATTGTACGAAATGCCAGTCAATAGTACTAAAGAGTGAAGTCAACCACAACACAGACAATAGCCTCAGACAATCATGACAGGCATGACAATGATGACAATCATGACACAGATAATACAACAGTACATACTTACAATAGTATCATGTTCAATAGTTTGGCAACTGCACAGGTTTTGGTTCTGCGAATTCAAATACCTACATGCTCACCTATCTACCTACCTACCCATCCACCCACCCACCTACCACAAAGGGAGCTACTGGCACTACCGACACGGTGTGGTGGTCTGGCTGTGCCAAGCCTTAGCGCCATTTCATCCGCAGAGTATGAAGCCTCAACAAAAATTACTGAGCCACTTGTGCGCCTGATGTTACCAGAGGATAGTTCAGCATCCCCCGGCGTATCTTCTAGTGCCTCCCTCCCGCCATCATCCCAACCTATGGGAACTGTGGAGTGGGATGACGCAGCTCCGCCGCTGCCGTCTCTGCCCGGTCCCGGTGTATCTTCTAGTCCCTCCCTCCCGTCATTACCCAAACCCATGAGAACTGTGGAGCTCGGTGTTCCAACGGGATGTCTCCTGGTTCCGCCGCCGTCTTCGCTCGGTTCTGTGGAGCCTGGAGGCATTTCTCTAGTGGCTCCTCCTCCTGCCTTTAACGCGGACAATGTTTTGACACGATTGCGACCGTTCGCTCGAATGCACGACAGATGAGGCACATGCGTTGGCTCGGCCATGTGCAGCAAGCTGCAGAGCTGCGAGCTACATTGCCAACGCCAAAGCAGCTTCTGCTGGAGACAGCTGCGGAGAAGGGGGTATCAAGTTGGCTATCCGCGATACCAGCCTTCTCATCTCCCAGATCCATACTGAACAAGTCGGATTTTCGAGACGCAGTATGTATCCATTACGGCTTGTCTTTGGATGGTGAATCTTGTGTATGTGTCTGTGGACCAGCCATGACGATTGGCCACGCGCTCACCTGCCCAGCAGGAGGATACCCTACTGCACGGCACAATGAGATTCGTGACGTTTTGGCGGACACTATCGGCAAGGTCCTTCCAGATGTGGAGGTGGAATCAGTGTTATTGCCATTCGAGGGTGAGACTCTGCCTTGCCGCACTGCTTATCGCTCCCTGGAGGCTCGCCTGGACATTCGGGCGCAGGGTTTCTGGACGCGGTAGCAGAATGCCTTTTTTGATGTCCGGGTTATACACGCGAAGACAACCCTGCAGTCGCGTACAGACGTCCTGCATCAGCTCAAAACCCACGACCAGGCGAAGAAGAGGCAGTATTGCGCTCGGGTAACCAGTGTTGAGAGTTGGTCTTCTACACCGTTAGTGTTTTCTACAACGGGCATGTGTACCCCTGAAGCATCTCTCTTTATGAAGAATTTGGTAGCTATCATATTGGAGAAGAATCATGATTTGCTGTATTCAGTAGTCATGGGCCAGCTACGGTGTATTTTGTCACTGTGTCTGCTTCGTTGGGCAATCACATGTATCAGAGGGTCTCGGGCATCATACAGACGTAGGAATAGGGCCTTCGTAAATAGCTGCCGTTCTTTGCCAGTGCGGTAATGTTTCTGTGGGGTCTTTTACCTAGTTTTTCTTTTTCTTTTTTTTGTGTTCCAATTGATTTTTACTTTTTTATTTTGTGTTCCAATTGATTTACAAGCATTTTAATTGATTTTCGTACTTCAAAGTAGTTTACTGAATTTGAATTTGTTTGATGATATGTGCAATTCATTTTGCCCGTACAAGAGGCTTTACCTGCCCGCCTGCCTGCTACCTACCTACCTGCTACCTACCTACCTGCTACCTACCTACCTGCTACCTACCTACCTGCTACCTACCTACCTGCTACCTACCTACCCACCCACCCACCCACCCACCTACCTACCTACCTACCTACCTACCTGCTACCTACCTACCTGCTACCTACCTACCCACCTACCTACCTACCTACCTACCTACCTACCTACCTGCTACCTACCTACCCACCCACCCACCCGCCCTACAGTACTGTAGCACTTGGCCTACCTGGAGGAGACGTCGTTGACACAATTGTCGGTGTGGTGGTCGGTGTGGTGGTTGGGATGGTGGTCGGTGTTGTGGTCGGTGTGGTGGTTGGGGTGGTTGTCGGTGTGGTTGTTGGTGTGGTGGTTGGTGTGGTGGTCGGGGTGGTTGTCGGTGTGGTTGTCGGTGTGGTTGTCGGTGTGGTTGTTGGTGTGGTGGTTGGTGTGGTTGTCGGTGTGGTTGTTGGTGTGGTTGTCGGTGTGGTTGTCGGTGTGGTTGTTGGTGTGGTGGTTGGTGTGGTTGTTGGTGTGGTTGTTGGTGTGGTTGTCGGTGTGGTGGTTGGTGTGGTTGTCGGTGTGGTTGTCGGTGTGGTTGTTGGTGTGGTTGTCGGTGTGGTTGTTGGTGTGGTGGTTGGTGTGGTGGTTGGTGTGGTGGTTGGTGTGGTGGTTGGTGTGGTGGTTGGTGTGGTGGTTGGTGTGGTGGTTGGTGTGGTGGTTGGTGTGGTGGTTGGTGTGGTTGTCGGTGTGGTGGTTGGTGTGGTTGTCGGTGTGGTTGTTGGTGTGGTGGTCGGGGTGGTTGTCGGTGTGGTGGTTGGTGTGGTTGTCGGTGTGGTGGTCGGTGTGGTGGTCGGTGTGGTGGTTGGTGTGGTGGTTGGTGTGGTTGTCGGTGTGGTGGTTGGTGTGGTTGTCGGTGTGGTGGTCGGTGTGGTGGTTGGTGTGGTGGTCGGTGTGGTGGTTGGTGTGGTGGTTGGTGTGGTTGTCGGTGTGGTTGTCGGTGTGGTGGTCGGTGTGGTGGTTGATGTGGTGGTTGTTGCGGTGGTTGCTGGAGGGGTAGAAGTTGGTCCAATAGCAGTGGTCGGCACTGGTGATGTCAACCCTAGTTACCACAGAGAATGCACAAGAAGAGATTTCCACAACAGTTGTCCTGATCAGAACTAAAGGAATGCAAGGACCCGCAAAGCCGCTAATGCATGTACCAGGGCATGTATTTCCCATCATGAACCACTCTAGCCATGCATGCACCAGATGTGCTGGGAGGCAGTATTATTAGGGAGAAGTGCAAACAATGTACTGAAGTACCTGATACATGGGAATAGTTTCTACCTATAGTGCTATGCCCGTCGATTGGGTGCAAGACACACTACATGTAAAACTTTGAAGTGTTCGCTGATCTCTGTGTCACCATAATGGTTACATGATCACTGCGGATCAAAACCTGCATGGACGGGGCTGTTGCAAAACAGTCCTCACATGGACCGGGGATACAAGCCGCAAACCAAGGTGATAACAGTACATTTTCTGTATGGTTTTAGAGTACATACATTCTGGAGGACATGCATGAGATTTGGGAATGCTCACCTTGAACAACTAGGGTAATAGATGCAACCCCGACACTCCTGGTTTCCAGAATCGTAAACTGGCATGTGTAGTCGCCCTGATCGGTGGCGGACAATGAGTCAATGGTTAGCGTGGGTGAGTTGCTGGCCTGGACCGCACTGGGACTAGTCCATCTGAAGTTCACAGCAGTGCCATTACTGGAGCTAGTGCAAACCAGGGTGTACGGCTGTCCAGCGAGCGGCTCTCCAATGGTTTCAATCTGAGCACCAGGTAGCGCTGAATGCAGCAAAGTGAGGAAAACATGGGATAGACCGGGAGATGGGTGAACACTGCATCCTGTGCCTACACGTGCACTGAAGCATGTCTCCGCTTCCCCAGAATATCTATTTTAAAACCTGATGCACTTCCGCATTTTTCCACTACTTAACACTACTTTTAAGAATATAATTCGCATACACAATTTTTGAAACGTCACTCCAACACTCTAGTATACTCCGATAGAGGTTCTGCGATCACATCATAAGTTGAGGTTCTTGGCAAAGTCGCGGGCTCGCAGAGTCGCAGCACAGCACAACACTTGTACTGCTGTAACAGGCCTAATTTTAACGCCAGTGATATTTTAGCAAAAGGAGTGTTTTCGCCCACTTTCTGCCACGCCAATCGAAATGATGCATGTACAGTACAGTACTAGTCATCTTCTTTTTTTTTTACTCTGAAACTCGGATCGCTTAATTCTTACATCGCGAATTGGTCCTGATTCCAGAAAAATCTAATGTTTTACCCGCTTAGAATTAGCCGTTCTACAGTAGCGGCTCACGCTGCGTACTTAGTGCCCGTTAGAAAAATATGCTGACTCATGCTGTACACATGTGCCCATTTGAAGATGAAAATCCCGATGAAATCATTTGCATAACCTCTCTACAATTGTATGCACAAATTCTCATAAGCCATTTACTTCAGAAGTCATGGTTTTCTGTACAATTACGTAGCTGACAGGGGAGCCCTGATTACAATCACATGTACAGTCGTCTCTCTGTAATCCAGTACTTTATAAACCAGAACTCTCCATAAACCAGCACAATTTGCAGCAGCCAAAATGTCCTCTTCATGCACATTGCTGCAGTAAATCAGATTTCTTCCCGTGGCTATGCAAAAGACGTTACTTCAGTAACATCTGGCGCTAGCTAGGGTCCACACAGCTTTAATTCCGTATTTGTGTGTTTGTGCCATCGGCATCCCTGGCGCTATCCCGTACCTGTCCCGTACCGTACCAAAGACAGCTGGCCACAATATTCAAATAGGGCTTTCAAATGCAAGATCATAACGTGAAGCAACTTGGAAGAATGAGTATGTGTGCGAAGTGTTTCGGGGGAATGCATGCAGGGCGATAGTGCGGGTTCGAATCCTAGGTTGTGTCTTGAAAAAAAAATTATATATAGGAGAAATGAAAAATATATGAGGCATGGGCAGCAAAAACCAGGGTTAGGTGATATTTGGCAAAAATGAGTTTTTGATGGCTTTGAACCGTCCACTAAATGAGTGATCTATGGGCCAAATTTTGGAGCTCTGGGCACCTTCCAAGATGGTAAAAAGAACGCCCGAAATGATGGGTGGCGGTCAACAAAAATGGTCAGCAAAAAGGCAAAATGGAACGCAGTTACAGCAAGATCTAATGGAGTGACTGAGAACTATTTAGCATATTTATAGGTCTTCAGGGAAGCACAGCGTACTCTAGTTGATATTATAGTAACATTGTTGCCTGCACTTGCTGCAATGTTACTTGAAAACTCAATCCCTGTCATGTGCAGGTCTGGTGTTGTATGCAGACTTGTCAGACAGAAAGAAGCCAAGCAACTGACGTTTTACATGGCTGGGAAGAATCTGCAACTTACTTAGGACAAGACTAGATATGCATGCTGGGCCAAGCCAGATACATCCACCAAGCATGTCTTGCTCTCCTACGCACAGCAGCTCGTAGATACATGTATAATACTGTGACAAATTTCATGCGCACCGCAAGCGTGCATGTATACTTGCAACAATTTTATTCACAAAATATCTTGTATCAAGTAAGGTTTAGTTCATTCAGGGCTGTCTCCGTATCTCACCAACTTATCCAGCTGCGAATAGTCGCCACGGAGTACTGAATCTCGTCCGTCACTCTCAGCGCTGCTGTCCGCGTCGCCACTTCGTGTCACGGAGCTCTCAAACTCGTCGTCTGCGCTGCCTCCGCTGATGGCTTGTCATCTGAGCGAAACCTCTTCACTTTCACCTGATTCTTCTTGCGGGGGACTATCACAGGCAGCGGAGTATCTCTGGAGATCCAGCTGCCAAATATTCTAGTCGCTCGTGCTCCATCCAGAATTCGTGACGGGATCGTTCCGCCAAGAAATTATTTGTTCCGCTCTCTTTTCAGCGCATGATTTGCAGACGCTACCCAGAGCGCAAACGCCTCCATGGTGGCTGAAAGCGCCTACCTTGACGTCCCAAGTGCTTGGCGGATAAACTACAACTGCAATGACTACAAATTATAGCGAAGCCACCGAGAGGAATGCACTTTCAAAGCGATATCGCAAGAAGTCTTTCCGCTTTGATCGCGGTGACTAAAAAACGACATAGGTTCGGTTTTTCGCAAATATTGGCATTTTGAAAAATCGCCAGGACCCCGGTTCTTGCTGCCGATGCCTCATATAACATCCCTATGCTTTTTTGCCTCAGTAGGTCATCAAGGTGGTAGAAGATGTCGTATTAACCTCGAATGCAAAGAGAACGTTTATTTCTTTCGCTCAGGGCCCTACGCTATGCTTTTTTGCCTAGCTCATCATGCATGTTATTCCGGCGAACAGATTTTTGCAATACAATAACCTGCATGATGAGCTAGGCAAAAAAGCATAGCATAGGGCCCTCATCTTCCAAGCTCTCTCGTTTATCCAGCACCCTCCCTAATCCAGCAGAATTTCCGGAGCACAAAATCAATGAGGCTGGATTATACAGGGACCATGGTACATGTATGTCAGGAAGAATAGAGGTTCATCCGCGCAAGGCAACTGCATTGATCATAACAGAACTGCTGAAAGGATCACTGTTCGAAAAAGAGTCCATCTACTCTAGTACCAACACCCTGGTTTGTGGCATGTACATGAGTAATGACTGAAGTGCGCAATTTGCATGACTAGCTAGGTGCTAATGCCCAAATGAGTGACACAGACCGGCAGGAGATCAGATAACTACTAGCTAGGTCAAAGATGGTCAGGGTGTGGCACTGCCTGCTGCTGAACGCCAATAGCTGTGTATGTACACCGCCAGAGAATAACACACATTTGCCACCGTCATGCTTCTTTACAGTGCACAGTACAGTGCACAGTACAGTGCACAGTACAGTGCACAGTACAGTGCACAGTACAGTGCACAGTACAGTGCACAGTACAGTGCACAGTACAGTGCACAGTACAGTGCACAGTACAGTGCACAGTACAGTGCACAGTGCACGGTACTACACAGTACTACACAGTAGTACACCATGGTACACGGCACCGATGATTGCAATGTAGTCACGGTACTTACTGTACAGTGTGATGTTGAACAGAGCTGTGGCAAAGACTTTTCGGTTAGCAGGATTGGAGTCACTGAGACTCTGCGCTACACAGAACAGCTCAACGACTCCTGCCTCTGCGATGCCTTGCGACGGGGCGTGAGAGATGAGATCAAAGCCTCTTTCTGGAACGGTGACATTAGGCCCGTGGGCATTGTCTGTGCGCCAATCCACGCTGAGCAGCAAATGGTTGCTCTCGGCAAACACCAGGCATTCTGGCACAAAAAGGTCACCAATTGTCAGCTGCAGGTGTCTAATGGGGCTGCCAGGGATGCTTATGCGAGGTGCACCTACCCACAGAGGCAACACACATACATCGACAACTTCCATTCAAAATTAACACAATCCCCTTGTTGGGTACCAGGAGTAGTACATGCCTATTGATGCAAGCTACCATTGTTCATGTTGCTATTGGTGCCGCAAGGGAGGGAGCGGGAGAAAGGAGAGAGACAGGCACACCATTGGCAGAAGCTTGATTTCCACACGATGACACACCAGTACATGTACTTGAACTCCGTAACTGAAATACACAACATGATCATTTATGAGAACATGATCATTTATGAGGACATTGACTTGTTGAAACATGAAATATGTCAGTATCTGTAATGTTTTCAGTTCCTGTTGTTTGGTTTGCCTATTTCAATTAGTCAGGTAGACAGACAGCCTGTCTGTCTAACTGTCTGTCTCTCTGTCTATCTGTCGGATAGACAAACAGACAAACAGACCGACAGGCAAATAGACAAACAGACAGACAGACAGACATGCAGACTGATGCAGATTACAAACAGGCTTTCTCTGTTGAAATCGCATGTACATGAACAGATTGTTCCAGCCTATGATTACCCTCCCCCCCCCCCCCCCCCACACACACAAGCAATGTACATACACAAAGGTCACGGGCCTCTGGTTGTGACTCACCTCCGGTAATGCTGTAAAGTGCTATCTGATCAATGCCACCGCAGTTGAGATTGTCTGAAACTGCTGCCACTGAGCCCAGACAGGCAAATGGCGAGCACGTTGTTGTCAGCAGTGTCGGCGGAAAGCTCTGAAAACACCAGCAGCTGCTGGAGTCGGCCATGCCACCTAGCCGATAGCCTTGTCGGAAACAGTGGCTGAGGCAGGTCGAGGCTTGGTTTGTCTCCAGAATGCTGGCGAATAATGAAGACGCTAGCACTCCAGTGGTGCGCTCGAATGGGCGGAATGTGTAGCAGTTTGAGAAAGATACGTTAGCCTGCTCAAACACTATCGTAGGCAAAGGAAACCCATGAGAAAACACAATGTAAAAAGAAGATTAAAACATGCGTCCGGCTGATCTCTTTTTAAGGAGATTTCAAAAACATTCTGACAAAGTATGTCCTATCTGACATGGCTGGGTATATTCGCATTATGCCGGTCCAAACAACTACCCACCACTATCCATAATTATCTGGAAACATGAAAATCCTGCCCTTCATGCCAGATGACCTGAAGAAACAATACATTGACCACACGTGTATGTGTGTGTGTGTGTGTGTGTGTGTGTGTGTGTGTGTGTGTGTGTATGTGTGACGACCGACCACCTAGTGATGCTCATCCTGTTGCCGAGGTCCCGGTATGTACAGCCTGCCAGCGTACGTTAAAGTCTACTGCTGGCCTCAAGCGCCATCACGGTGGACCCCGCCCGAATCGCCCTACAGTGACTGATCGCCAGCACTTTGAACATCATTGCCGAGTCTGCAATCGACGCCAGTTTCGGAGGCGACAGGACCTGGAGCGCCATTTGAAGCACTGCCTACCTCTCCCCTAACCTCTCTGACAGTACCTCCCTTCGGGGAGCGGCGTGGCCATTTCTTGGCAGCTGTCAATAGTAGTAGTAGTAGTAGTAGTAGTAGTAGTGTGTATGTGTGTGTGTGTGTGTGTGTGTGTGTATGTGTGTGTGTATGTGTATGTGTGTGTGTGTGTGTGTGTGTGTGTGTGTGTGTGTGTGTGTGTGTGTGTGTGTGTGTGTGTGTGTGTGTGTGTGTGTGCGTGTGTACCAGTACAAGTACAAGTGTGTATGTGTGTATGTGTGTGTGTGTGTGTGTGTGTGTGTGTGTGTGTGTGTGTGTGTGTGTGTGTGTGTGTGTGTGTGTGTGTGTGTGTGTGTGTGTGTGTGTGCCACTGTGCTCATTTGTACACACATAAACTTCTTGTACTTGCTGATTGCCATAAACTGGCAACATGGGTCTCCCTGGGAGAGGGGAGAGAGATGCAAAATAAATCTTGGAAAGATGATTCAATTGGCTATTGAACCGCCCAACGGCCGACTCCTCCTGAAATTCCCAAACTCTGGGTGGATTTGGAAATGATCACACTTATGGGCTCACCACATCTTGGTAAGTGGGTGAGGATAAGGTGCAGGAAAAGAATTGACGGCATCAGGGTATCGCATCAAGATATCCGTTCCGGAATCCAACTGAATTTACCCCTTCCCCCCAGTTATCATACTATTACCAAACAATGACACACACATTCACACATAATATGCACATATGCACATACGTATCACGGCTGTTAGCTGCACTTGGATCGCGGCAACTTAGTTTTCTGCACGTGAACCATGAAAAATCAATGCATGCTCATGCATGTTCATGCATAACCAGTCAGCTGGCCTGCTCGCCCACGCATTTGACAGGTAACAATTCCATCAAATTTGAGATATCGCTTCGTTCTAAGTCTCAAAACAGTTCTAAAGTCACCAAACCACGCTGGTAATCGATGGCTATTCAATGTTAACATCTTCAGGAAGACTTCAGCCGTTTCCCGAGAGTTTGGGCATCGTTGCCGTTATTTTTCACGGTGTTCTTCTTCCTCCTGTCTGGAGCTGCAATTGCATCCTGGAATTATTTGAAAGGTATTTCGTGCGGGCTGTGGGGGGTTCCAACAGGCATAAACTGACATCGCTATAGGATAACTGGTAACTTTCACCCTTCAAGGAGGTAGAGCAATGAGAATTTTTTTGTGGCGGTCGTCCAATTTTTGTGGCGGTCGTGGCTGTATTTGTGCACTTCCAAGGCTTTCATTCTGCCTGATACTACTCTGTACTGTATGGGAATCGTTGTTTAGACACATGTAGCTGTCATATTTGGTAGATCTGCTGTTTTCAATCACTTGGGACACTTTGTCTAGCCTATTTGTCTTTCGTTCGTGCCATCTATCAGTTTTGTGGGGTGCCTTGACCTGTATTTGTGAAGTTCTCGAGTAAAGACCCTAATTCTTGACTGGAGTCACGTCTTGAATTGAATTTGCTGCGTGAGCCCTCGTTCACGCAGTTGTACTTATCGTAATAGTCAATATCTGCTTGCTGGACGGACTAGCGGCTAGAATAGGGATGACCAAATGGTCCAAGTGTGTACTAGTACACGATTATTGTTTCCATCATCGTGAAATGCTCGTTGTGGAATTGCAGTCGTCTGCCTTTGGCACTGAGGACATGACTCATGAGGAGAGTTGATTGTTACTTCTGCTCAGCAATGAAGCGATCATCAGCTCTCTTTGTTCTAATTATTGAGAGGACATACCGGCATCGCAATCAAGTAAAGATTAGGCAAACCTCGCCAACCTCCAAAGAGAGTCGAAGATATTTTCTCCAAATGCAAAGACGATCTTTGTGAGTTTGTGACTTGCATTTGCGTGCATACATGAGCAAGTCACGGACCACGGCACGTGCGCGGTTACCATGCCATCTCGAACCGACGCCATCTTTCTAAGTTGCCGCTTCTTGACAGCCGTGGTATATATACACATATGCACATACACACATATATACACACATATATACACATATATGTACACATATATGTACACACACATATGCACATACACACACACATGTACACACACAAATGCACACACGTACACACATACATACATACATACACACACATACATCAACACGTGCATGCCCAGGCAGCATCATAAATTCATAATTATACTACTTCTATCTGTACACATAGATATGCACAGTACAATAGTGGATAGCAGCGGCGCCGGTATACCCACCTGTGTCCGACAAGTACACGGCGACTGATTGGTTATTAGAAGGGCATTGGCTATCTGCACTGGTAGGACAGGGGGCACATTCTGTATTTGTAGTGTCAATAGCACCCGCTGGAAACCCACGCCACGCCACTCCACAGAGACACGAGAACTCGTTTGTTTGGGAATTCAAGGTCAGACCGGAGACGCGGAAACCGCTGTCACTGCATCTGTTGCTGCATTCCACGCCAGTTAAAGACGTACTGGCTCCGCTAAACCGCGGCTGAAACACGGATGACCTGAAGTCGATATCCTCGAGCGGTGCCAGGATAGGTATGGGATTATCAAGCGGTATGTAGTTGATATTCCAGCAGGTGAAGAACCTTGTATTGCGCAATGGATCTGTACACGTGAGAACAATCATACTTATAATGGTGCTGTCATGAAAGCATAGTGTTATGGTGATGACATCATTATTACATCACAATGCAATTTCTGGAGAAAGCCATCAGTTATACAATGCGATTTATTTGCAACTGCATATCAGCAATCTGAGCAATTCAGCTACCCTGCTATCCTGCAGCAGAGGGAAATTCCTTACAGCAGAGGGACATTGGCCGGATGCAGAAAAGCAGAGTGTTGCAAATTAGTCACATGTTCCTTACCTGGTTGGATAGGGCACATGGATCTTGGAATACAGACATCTTGGTGTAGGACAAATCCAGGAAGGCATCGACAACCAGGTACACATATCTCCGCCTGGTTGCAGGCAATTGGTTCGCAGGTGGCATAGCACGGGGAGCCACATTCATCGTATACCTGATTCCCACCGCAAGTCGGAATGGTTGGTGGCAGCATGGTAGTAACAGAGATGGTGGCTGGAATAGTGGTCGGTGTGGTGGTCGGTGTGGTGGTTGGTGTGGTGGTCGGTGTGGTGGTCGGTGTTGTAGTTGGTGTGGTTGTCGGTGTGGTGGTTGGTGTGGTGGTTGGTGTGGTGGTTGGTGTGGTGGTTGGTGTGGTGGCTGGTGTGGTGGTTGGTGTGGTGGTCGGTGTTGTAGTTGGTGTGGTGGTCGGTGTGGTCGGTGTGGTGGTCGGTGTGGTGGTTGGTGTTGTGGTCGGTGTTATAGTTGGTGAACTGGTCATCGTGGAAGGCATAGTAGTAGGATTTTCTGCAATGGAGATGAACATTCGTACAGTCATGCAACACGTTAAATACGTGACTGACCAGCGCTTCATTTATGCTCCTTTACCACATTTTGCTATACAAAAACCACACGCCATTTGATGTCACAACGCAGCAAGGCAGCGATGAGACATATGGAATGGCAGGAGTGGGAGAGAGGCAGGGGCAGCTTGACCGACGATATGGTCTCGGCTTCACTGCGACCCAAGCGCTCCACAAAAACAAAAGATTACAGAAAATACGCAGGGGGGGGGGGGGGGGGTAGATGACTGGGGATCACGGGGAAAAGTATACACAATATCAGAGCGTCAAAGAAGTGAATGGAGGAAGGAACAGAGTTAGAGCTTTGGGAATCGATATCCCATACCTTGGATCTCAGCACGCATACCCAAGCCGAGTCAATGTACAATGTATGTGCAAGGCCAGGGGCATCAACTATAGTACATGCTCCGCAGCGCACACTGTCACACACGCAGGGATTGATTTATCCGGGTTCGCATCGCAGTTTGCGAATCAAAATTCGCTGGCTGCGATTCGCTTTTTGTTTTTTTATCGCCCAAAACTGCGATGCACTGGCCATGCATACCGGTAGATCTACACACAACGACCATTCTGTACTGTTTGTGTGCAGTTTGGATGCGACTGCTGTACACAACTGCTGACTAGGGAGTAGTATTTACTACTCCAACCAACTGGCCTGTCCTGCTCAGTCCGCGTGCGGGTCGCGGATCGCGCTCTGTTTGATTTTTGGACACTGCACTAGCCACTAGTACTATCACAGGTCGTACAAGACTGCAGTCTTTTGAAGTTTTGTACACGGCGGCGACTTTCCCTGAAGTTCTCCTTTCTTCTTTCACTCTCAAGCTCAATTCAGTTTGTTTCTGTTCGACAAGACACAGCTGAAGTAGATGGTTCTTAGTCTCATGTAGCCAACATATCAGTGAATCTGATCACTGTCCAGAAGTGGGAAAAAGAACTGGACGCGCCAGGAGTGTCGATTCGTTTTGATGGAGAAAAGCGAAAATTCTGTGCGCTTTGAACGAAGTGTCACGATCGTTTGAGCGCTTTCCTGAGCTTTCTTTGTCGAAGGAATCAGTGGAACTGCCCTGTTGAAGGACATTGTGTTGTGAAGAACTCGAAGTCGGATGGATGCTGAACATGTAAGAAGCCCAAGCGAAAACCCTGACGTAAAATATTCAGGTCAACCGTTCGTTTGGAAAAGCAAATAGCAACTGCAGCTATTGTCCTCTTCTGTACAAAATCCTGCTATTGTACAGATAATGATAATATCATTAATGATAATCTGTCAGATATACATGTAAACTTTCGATGCAGGAAAACTGCTAATCAATACTGGGAGTTGCTAGTCAATTGTAAAACTGTGAAGCAGTGACTGCTATGCAAAAAATCAAAGTAAATCGATCCCTGGACACACTGTGCAATAAGCGAGGGTCCCTGGTTCAAGTCCCGGTGGTGACAGTCAATTTTTCTTCAGACTTTTCCCGTTTGCAACTTCCTCAAACTAATGAATACACGTTAGTCTGCGGTATATTGAGAGGCCTGATGCAGGGAGTACTCTACAATCGAACTTGGCTTGTAATTGCCGGTACATGTATCTTGTAATTGCCGGTACATGTATCTTGTAATTGCCGGTACATATATTTCCTATCGACTGCTTTCTCATTTTCTCGAGTACAGCTTTATCGAGCCACATTTTATTATATTCTATCGCCATGACAGTATTAGGCATCAATGCCCGTTTGGTTTGCGATGTAAAATAAAACTTCAACAAACAAACAAACAATCCCATACAGTGTATTGCCCTTGCTATCATACTGTACCTGGCAGCACTATATTCGTAGATACTCTTCCAACGCGTCCGGTTTCCTGGATTGTAAATTCACATGTGTAGGTGCCCCGGTCTGCCAAGGACAGCGGTTCAAATCTCAGCTCTGATCCGGTGCTGGAGCGAGGTCCTGACCAGATGAAGTTGACCGCTGTTCCATTGCTGTCACTCAGGCAGGACAGGACGAAGACTTCACCCACTGCCAGTACTCCAAGAGCAGTTAGCTGGGCACCTGGGGGAGCTGGACTCAACAACGCACGCATCGTGCACCGTGCAAATGAGCATACACGTACATGAACGTAGCCATGCACACAAACATACACACACACACACACGGCAATGCATATAAGCATACATGTAAACCATGCATACACGCATACACATACACATACAGCCATACACGCATTCACCGAAAGCAATAGAATTTGTTATCTCCGAGCTTTGCCAATTGCGGATGACGTCATGTAGTGAAAGTAGGACGCATGGCTAAGCTAGGGTCTAGCGCACTACATTGGTTGTCTTGTGTGTGTTTGTGTGCATGCGTGTGTGTATGCATGTGTGTGCATGTTTTTTTCTGTTTGTCTTCTTCTCCGAGTCGAGATTCCGACATGGTGGCAATGGAAGCGGCTAAACACTTGCCCCCGCTTGGCCAGCAAAGCGAGGGTCCAAAAGCTAACTCACTCTTGTTAGGCTTACTACTTGAAGTAGAAAGAATGTGGTAGGCCTGACATTGGGAAACACAAGTGTACTCTCAGCGCAAACTATGTACATCCCATGCATGTACCTATCAGGTTTACTGTGCCAGAAACTCTCCAGGGCATAGGGAAATGGTAAGTGGGCCATGTTGCACTCACTGAAGACATTGACGGAGAATGTGCCCGAAGCCGTAACTTCTTGGTTTGCTTGATTGGAATCGCTCAAGCTGTTGACAACACAAGTCAGCTGATATTCTCCCTGCAGAGCTTCACCCACTGCTGGCTGATGTGAAATGCTAACAAAACCTTGAACAGTTGCATTGGGTATGGCTGTGGTGACTGCACCGGCGCCGTTTCTCCACTCCACGCTCAACAGCAAGTGATTGCTGGTGGCCTCGGCAAGGCAAAGTGGTCGGAACTCGTCTCCAATTGTCAGATTGTGCACTCTGCTACCAGGCAATGTAGCTGTTGGGGCATCTACAGAGAACCACAGTAAATGAGATACAGGTAAAGTTTACTCATGGGGGGGGATGTCTGAGCCGAAAATTTTGGAAATTTAGGGTCCAGATCAGTGAATTTTATTGATTCGCGGGGTACTAGACCGGGGGCAAAAAGTGGTACGGTCAATACCGTAATGACCGTACCGTGTCCGACGCCCCTGGATTATAATTCTGCCGCTGATTACCATTTCAACCAACTGGCACTGCATCTAGGAATGTGGAGAGTGCCACGTATAATTTTGGTGGACATAGAGTTGACCGGCCGATGCGTACCTTCGCATACATACCCAGGGTACTAGCCAGAAAAATAGTAGGGGACCGGGGTGGGGTGGGAGGAACAGTCGATACATAGGTAGAGGGTGCACTATCAGAGAAGGGGGCACATAATCTGAGTAGGGGTAAACCATCAGAGTACGGGCGGGGGGGGGGGGTGCTACACCCCCCCCCCCCATTGGCTAGAACCCTAATAATATTACCAAGAAATGCTTGTGTAGAATGCCCCGGATGATGGCACTTGCGCTGATGTGCCCTCACAATACGATATTGACCAGTTTGGAGGGTCTCCTAGTTAACCCAGGCTGTTAACTAGTGATTTTTTAATGAGCTGATCTGATTCTGGCACAGAATCATTGGAGGGGGGGGGGGGGTGACGTGCAGCATCGATGCATGCACTGCTCTTTTTTGAAGCTTTTTGGGGATCGAAGTCAAAACTAAATTGGGGTTAACACAGTCATGGTACACTCTCCCTAGTACTTGTGTACAGCATGTATCCTACTGGCTCTGTCAGGTAGTCTGTCAGGTAGTCTGGCGGGTAGTCTGGCGGGGTAGGTAGTCTGGCGGGGTAGGTAGTCTGGCAGGTAGTCTGTCAGGTAGTCTGGCGGGTAGTCTGGCGGGGTAGGTAGTCTGGCAGGTAGTCTGTCAGGTAGTCTGTCAGGTAGTCTGGCGGGCCCACGGCTGACTCGCGCTGTGCATATGGCAAGATGGCGTCTTTTTACGCACTTTTTTTCGAAAAAGGTTTCGATGGTGATCCGCGTACGCGTCATGCTGCGACCGTACTTGCGATCGTGTTTTGTGGCGTTTTTTGAATAATGTTCTTTTTCTTGTAGGCTCATTCGAAGCTAGCTCGCTTCATTATCAGCTTTGTTTTTGAGCTTTAGAAGGCAAGTTCCCCAGAAGTATGTCTGTGAAGTGCTCTATTCATTGGTTCGATTTTGTAGAAGTGACTTACCTGTCCCACCTGCCACCCGCTCTTGAAAGAGCGCCCCAGTTCCACCTTAGACAATTATTTATTTTAGAATCAGAATGATTATACGATTGGGTTACGATTGCGTTCTCGCCAAGTGGCGATGATGGCGTCAATACTAGTATACCTCACCTTGTGGACGTGACTAACCTGCTCAAGCATCACACACGGAAGCCGCTGAAGCTGAGCATCTACGTACCTTGTGTCGAATTTCCAATCGCAGCCAGTCTAGTTGAACTTGTAAATATAGATTTAATTAGAGTTTCTGCAGTTTCGACTCACCTGCTCCAGCCTGCAGTGCGTTCTTGAAGGAGCGACCATGGTTTACGTACCTTGCATGCTAACCAGCCATGTTCCGAGCTTGGATGCCAGTATGTCCAGCAAGGTGATATTTTGCAGCGCCTCACAAAGTAAAAATACTGCAGTGATTTATTCATTTCTTCAAATGTGTGGATACCACTTACCTGCACAAGTTTCACCTACCTTGTAAATTGTGGATATACAACATTCATATGAATCAAGAGAACATGTCAGAACTACTAGCAACACAATTGAATTACCTGCACCAAGTCTGGATCCTGGAGCTGTCGGGCCCTGCTGCTACGAACTCTGCCAAGTCACTAGCTAGCTGATTTCTTGCGCTTGGCAGCTGGCACGATCAGCTTGTTGTGGGTTGGCAGCGCTGTCGTCAGGTACTGAGCCACTAGAGTCCGGAGACGGTCGACATCCTTGTTCGTATTCTGCAGTGTTTCTCGCAGCAGGTTAAACTTGTGGTGGATTGACTCACCGCCTTGCTCTCCGAGAGCACCAAGCGCCATGCCGAATCTCTTAACACAAGGAACGAGGTGACACTCAAGCAGATGCAACTTGGGCGTGACAGGACGCTTGTGCCGCACAACAACCTCCGACCGCACGTTCGCCATGAAGGATACGATCTTCTCCTCCAAGCTCTTGACCATATCGTCGTCTGCAGTGATAGTCGATGCGAATATGGCTCTGCAACTAGCGTACTTGCCAAAGAGAGACGCATACCGAGCGGAGCATTCTTCGGCAGCTTTCAGTAGTTGATGCTGTGCCTGCGTGGGAGCAAAGGAGGCACCATCCGGATTTACAAAAGAAGCAACCACTGTCAACGGAGCAGACACAATCTGTTGTGTCACTGATGGCTGTAGTGCTTTGTTGATGTGGTTGCCAACGAAAGCACCCGAGTGATAGGCCTGCCGATCTATCCTGTGCTTCACCAATACTGGCTCGAATGATGAAGCACAAGGGCCATTCTTAACCTTTGCATTCACAAGCCGTTCCTCCAAACTAGATATTCGCACATTCATGTCGTTGAGCTGCTGCTGCTGCGCTGCCCAGTGCTGTTGTAGCTGAGCAGCTAGTCCTGCGTGCTGTGCTTCTGCCACATGATTGGCTTGCATGGCCTGAGCTGCATTTAGCACTGCCCATTGTAGCTGTGTCTGTGCGACATAAAGCTGCTGCTCTTGCTGTGCCTTCTCTGCTAAGAGTACCCACAACTCTCTTTGCATCTTAGCTGCATCGTTGAATGTGGAGCTCGAAGATGTGTCTGTGCTTTCTCTGGCTAGCATCAGGTCAATCTCCTCTGCATCTCGGACCATAGCCTCAAAAAGCAAGGGAAAGATTCCCAGGTCGAGGTGCAGGATGGGGACACATACATCATCCAGTTCAATTGGCAGGATTTGTGGGCGAATAACATTATTGAACTGTTTGGCGTTCTGCAGCCTTGAGCCAGATTCCACAAAACGACCCAAGTCCTCTTTCAGCATGTCGAGCGTTCTGTCGGGGAAGGGGGTGGTAGGGGATGGTTGCATGTCTTTCTTTGTTGCCAGACAGAACAGACAAGGCCTGACTCCACTTGCTCCAGACAAGCCATACAATTTCATCATAAAATCGTAGTCCCCGAAGAGGCAAACTTTGATTTTCTTTCCCTTCCAAGAACAGCTGCGGAGTCTGTCGACTTGCTCTGCATACGGTTGAAACGCCGTGGCTAGGTTTGACGGAGAGTCTTTCGCAGCAAAGACCAAGAAAGGAACTGTGTTGCTAAGGGAGTTGGGGTGGAGGACATTCACAAGCTGGAAGCAAAGCTTGAATGAATGCCCTCCATGGTCTCCACCTATCTTCACCCAAAGCTCATCTTCTGGGCAGGCACCTTCCCAGACAAGTGTGCCAGCTTCCTCATTCAACTCGACAAAGTGAAGAACTAGCTCCACCAGATTGTCAAAGCAGACAACAGGGCTCATGATGACAGTGCCAGAACTGTCCAAAAGGGGAACTTCCTTGGCGACAAGGGGAAACGGCAGCTCCTCGGACAACTGCTTCCGCATCTCTCTTTCCGACTCCAGCGACAGTCCACACAATCTCAAATATCGGCGAAGCTTGCGCAGCCCATTCCAGGGTAGCTGGAGGTCAGACTTGATGGCAAGACTGGAGCCCCTCCGGTAGCAAGCCGGCCTCACGGAGAAGGTCTTCCCGTTGGCTTCGGCGAAGGGACTGCAGAGCGTGAACGCTCTGCGCTTCCTTGCCTTTAGCTCCTCCGCATGCTGCCTGCTGGATGCCATCGAGTAGGCTCTCTCTTCGCCGCAGCGTGGACGATGAGGCATCTGAAGATGACACCCTTGCCACAGGAACCCTGTGCCACAGTGATGTGCTGCCACGCGTCCGCTGCTCAAGTCGGCCATCCTCCGCTCGAGCTTCAACTAGCCTGTTAAGGAGCTTGGAAGCAACATCACCTTGCAAAAGGTCATGTGGTGCAGCCAACACAGTTGCCACGGTGGAGGAAAGCGTCAAGTAGCGCTTGGGTGGCGGGTGTTTGGCGAATGGACACTCGGCAACATGGCTCTGCAAAGATGCTAATGTGACTCTGGCTGGACAACCCTCGAGCACTGATTCACCAGCATTGTCACAGGACAGGACAAGTTCAGACAACGTCACCCGAGCAAACGGATGTACAGATTGGTATGACGACAAGAGAACAACCTTTTTGCAGGAGTGGCAGGACGAAGAGGTTTCCAGCCAGCCCACAATACATTCAGCACAAACTAATTTACTGCAGCAGGGAGATTGCACAGCACGATTTGCAACAAGACCGCAAATGTGGCAAATGAGTGCGCTCGGCACAAACGTGAAGCGGTCCGGCGACAGAGGCAAACAAGAAACATAGTTGTCAGTGACCAGAGCTGCGATCTTCTCTTGGTCAATGTCAACAGCATTGGTGCAAGTAGACACATCACTGTCACCATGTGTCATGCGTGCGCCGCGAATCGTTTTCGTTGCCTTCTTTTGCCGTCCACCTTTTCTGCTTGCAACAATGCGAGTGCAGGTGCTACATTTGCTGTCTGTATGTGCATACCATTCGTGAACAGTTGGCAAACTTTGCCCACAGCCACCTGCATTGCATGAGCCTTTCTTCAGGGTCGAATGCAAAAAATCAAAACACGATTTGCAAAATTGATTGGGATGCACTCCCTCTTGATCCTCTTCAACTTTAACGTTGAACGCACGGAATATATCAAGGGAGTGTTCCTTGACGGTGTAAGTAGTAGCACTCCATGACTTGTGGCCTTTGCGATTTGTGGGTAATTTGCAGCCACCCAAACGACACAGGGAATTTACATGCTCCACATGAAATGCATGATCAAGAGTAGAACTCATCGTAACACTCTACAGAACCTATGCACACAAATATGAAAAAATTCAAAAACAACAGAAAGTACCTTTGAATAAGCGGCCAAGAACATGGATCTGCCCATCAGAACACGACGAACTTTTCTCAGCGTGGAGACGAAGGATGATTCTGCCTTCAAAAACCTGCCAAAGCAGCGGCGTTTGCTCCGGTAGGGTATGCAGGCGTCTTCAAAATCACATCGAAATCGTTACTCAACTGTCACTACGTAGCACTGATCAAGAACGAACTCAGCAAAGAAACAGCTGAATCGGGAAAGAAGCAGTTTTTTCGGCTCGTCCGCATCAAGGTACCGTTATCCTGCATGCATAAGACTAGTTGAACAGATTCTTGTTGTTATGTGCAGCTCAGAATGGTCTCGACACCGACAGATATCAGTGGTCGCGTCAAGTGCAATTGAGAATTTTTTTGAATTTGAGTGAGGGGTTTCCCCACATTCACGGCCTTGCCGTCTGTACTCATACCCGTACTTCCATGCGCGGATTCATGTACACTGAGACAGCCGTGCGGGGTAGGTAGTCTGGCAGGTAGTCTGTCAGGTAGTCTGTCAGGTAGTCTGGCGGGGTAGGTAGTCTGGCAGGTAGTCTGTCAGGTAGTCTGTCAGGTAGTCTGGCGGGGTAGGTAGTCTGGCGGGGTAGGTAGTCTGGCGGGGTAGGTAGTCTGACGGGGTAGGTAGTCTGGGTAGGTAGTCTGACGGGGTAGGTAGTCTGTCAGGTAGTCTGTCAGGTAGTCTGGCGGGTAGTCTGGCGGGGTAGGTAGTCTGGCAGGTAGTCTGTCAGGTAGTCTGTCAGGTAGTCTGGCGGGGTAGGTAGTCTGGCAGGTAGTCTGTCAGGTAGTCTGTCAGGTAGTCTGGCGGGGTAGGTAGTCTGGCAGGTAGTCTGTCAGGTAGTCTGTCAGGTAGTCTGGCGGGGTAGGTAGTCTGGCGGGGTAGGTAGTCTGACGGGGTAGGTAGTCTGGGTAGGTAGTCTGACGGGGTAGGTAGTCTGGCAGGTAGTCTGTCAGGTAGTCTGGCGGGTAGTCTGGCGGGGTAGGTAGTCTGGCAGGTAGTCTGTCAGGTAGTCTGTCAGGTAGTCTGGCGGGGTAGGTAGTCTGGCAGGTAGTCTGTCAGGTAGTCTGTCAGGTAGTCTGGCGGGGTAGGTAGTCTGGCGGGGTAGGTAGTCTGACGGGGTAGGTAGTCTGGGTAGGTAGTCTGGCGGGGTAGGTAGTCTGGCGGGGTAGGTAGTCTGGCGGGGTAGGTAGTCTGGCGGGGTAGGTAGTCTGGCGGGGTAGGCAGTCTGGCGGGGTAGGTAGTCTGGCGGGGTAGGTAGTCTGGCGGGGTAGGTAGTCTGGCGGGGTAGGTAGTCTGGCGGGGTAGGTAGTCTGGCTCTGTCAGGTAGTCTGGCGGGGTAGGTAGTCTGGCGGGGTAGGTAGTCTGGCGGGGTAGGTAGTCTGGCGGGGTAGGTAGTCTGGCGGGGTAGGTAGTCTGGCGGGGTAGGTAGTCTGGCGGGGTAGTCTGGCGGGGTAGGTAGTCTGGCGGGGTAGGTAGTCTGTCAGGTAGTCTGGCAGGGTAGGTAGTCTGGCGGGGTAGGTAGTCTGGCGGGGTAGTCTGGCGGGGTAGGTAGTCTGGCGGGGTAGGTAGTCTGTCAGGTAGTCTGGCAGGGTAGGTAGTCTGGCGGGGTAGGTAGTCTGGCGGGGTAGGTAGTCTGGCGGGGTAGGTAGTCTGGCGGGGTAGGTAGTCTGACGGGGTAGGTAGTCTGGGTAGGTAGTCTGACGGGGTAGGTAGTCTGTCAGGTAGTCTGTCAGGTAGTCTGGCGGGTAGTCTGGCGGGGTAGGTAGTCTGGCAGGTAGTCTGTCAGGTAGTCTGTCAGGTAGTCTGGCGGGGTAGGTAGTCTGGCAGGTAGTCTGTCAGGTAGTCTGTCAGGTAGTCTGGCGGGGTAGGTAGTCTGGCAGGTAGTCTGTCAGGTAGTCTGTCAGGTAGTCTGGCGGGGTAGGTAGTCTGGCGGGGTAGGTAGTCTGACGGGGTAGGTAGTCTGGGTAGGTAGTCTGACGGGGTAGGTAGTCTGGCAGGTAGTCTGTCAGGTAGTCTGGCGGGTAGTCTGGCGGGGTAGGTAGTCTGGCAGGTAGTCTGTCAGGTAGTCTGTCAGGTAGTCTGGCGGGGTAGGTAGTCTGGCAGGTAGTCTGTCAGGTAGTCTGTCAGGTAGTCTGGCGGGGTAGGTAGTCTGGCGGGGTAGGTAGTCTGACGGGGTAGGTAGTCTGGGTAGGTAGTCTGGCGGGGTAGGTAGTCTGGCGGGGTAGGTAGTCTGGCGGGGTAGGTAGTCTGGCGGGGTAGGTAGTCTGGCGGGGTAGGTAGTCTGGCGGGGTAGGTAGTCTGGCGGGGTAGGTAGTCTGGCGGGGTAGGTAGTCTGGCGGGGTAGGTAGTCTGGCGGGGTAGGTAGTCTGGCTCTGTCAGGTAGTCTGGCGGGGTAGGTAGTCTGGCGGGGTAGGTAGTCTGGCGGGGTAGGTAGTCTGGCGGGGTAGGTAGTCTGGCGGGGTAGGTAGTCTGGCGGGGTAGGTAGTCTGGCGGGGTAGTCTGGCGGGGTAGGTAGTCTGGCGGGGTAGGTAGTCTGTCAGGTAGTCTGGCAGGGTAGGTAGTCTGGCGGGGTAGGTAGTCTGGCGGGGTAGGTAGTCTGGCGGGGTAGGTAGTCTGGCGGGGTAGGTAGTCTGACGGGGTAGGTAGTCTGGCGGGGTAGGTAGTCTGGCGGGGTAGGTAGTCTGGCGGGGTAGGTAGTCTGGCGGGGTAGGTAGTCTGGCGGGGTAGGTAGTCTGGCGGGGTAGGTAGTCTGGCGGGGTAGGTAGTCTGGCGGGGTAGGTAGTCTGGCGGGGTAGGTAGTTGCCCAGAGCACAAGCCAAGTTCAGCTTAGACAATCGGTATCTGCCCTGCGACTTTGTTTTGTAAGACGTAATCAATAGCAGCAAGACACACACTGACAACATTCAGTGCTGAACTTACCACCAGTAATGCTGTAGAGAGCAATTGCTCCAATTCCTCCACATGACAGGTTATCTATGAAGCCAACTGCCCTTGCCAGGCAAGAAAGCTGCGAGCATCCACTGCTTGTGGTTGCGGACGGGAAACTCTGAAAACACCAGCAGGCCGAACCGTCCGAAATACCACCCAGGCGGAACCCATGACGAAAGCAAAAGCTGACGCACGTCGAAGCCTGCTCCAGATCAAGTATACTCTGCACCAAGCTGGATGCAAGGACTCCGGTTTGGATGGTAGACTGCAAGTCGGTGGCAAATTGGTAGCAACTCACCAGGGAGACATCAGCAGGTTGGAAGTCTGGAGGAACAGCCGACGCAACACCATGGCATGCTTCTTCACAACAAGAACAGCACCAAGCTGTGGTACAATGTAATGCAAATCGAGAAATAGCCTGATAGTCAGGGTAACATGTAATAGAGAAGGAAAACATCATGCTGCAGCATACACTGTACTGACATCCTGGTCTGATATATGCAACGGGCTCAGAGAATAGACATACCTTCGAACAACTATCATATCAATTTCGGCATGCTTTGTCTGAGGTCCATGCTCAGGTTCTTACCAATGTCACTGACATAGACAGCAACAGACATGTTATTCATGGGGCATTGACTTGTCACATCAGTAGAGCAGTTCCCGCACTCAGCCCCTGCCGTGTCAATTGCCGTTGGTGGAAATCCAAGCCATGCCACTCCACAAAAGCAGGTATATTCGTTGGTCAGCGGGGTTTTAACCAGGCCAGACACTCTGAAAGCATCCCGGAGGCACAAACTACTGCACTGCCTTCCAGATATGGGTCCAATTGGTGCAGGACCACTGGGCCTGAATGATGAAGACCTAAAGTCGACATCTTCGACTGGTGCAAGGATGGGAAGTGCAGCCTGAAGATCAATATGGTTTGTGCTCCAGCAAGAGAAGAAACGACTTGTTGGTGAGAGGGCTGCAAGGAGTAAGAAAAGGAGTGGGACAAAACAAGTACGATCTTGATGGTTCACCAACCAACACCAGAAAATGCCCCCAATCATTCACAACAAAACACTTGGGCCTCCATAATTATGGCCTTGCATTTGACTGTCTCTGTACATAGCTGCTGTGAAGCCTCTGCCAGAACTTCAAAATTGTCATGCAGAGAGTGACAATGTAGGGAACTGTTTAATGCAGGTTGAAGACTCGTATACACGTAACAGTGCAATATGACCCAAATGCAAGACCAGCAACATTACTGTATTCTTCAAGTTCCACGACATCAGTGTTGAGTGAAAATGCACGACAATCGGAGGTCGTTCTCTGATTCACTCACGTGGCAATGTGGGTACCACTGGGCTGGTCTGAACTGGACTGGTTGGAACAATGGTTGTTACAAGACAACCTGGGCAACTGGGTTGAGTGGAACGTCCTTAACAGAGCAGAGAATGACAGGCAGCATTCAGGAAGTACACATGAAGGGCTAAAGCAAGTGCTTTGGGCAGACAAGAACTTTCCCAATACTTGAAGTTCAACAATAGTGAGTTGGGAGTTTGTCACGGTTTCGAAGTGATGGTAAAGCCTGCGGATGGTAGCGCACAGATCACGGCACCTATGCAAAGTTGCTAGCCACCTCCCAAGTACACGGGAAATATATGAACCCCGCATACAACATACTGTTGTTTACACTATTGCATATGAGAGGGGATTGAGTGCCGGTGTAGGAAATATTGTGACCTTTGATAAGCTGGCTTCCATTTTAGTATTGGCTCTGAGGAAAGCTGCCAGGCTCATTTGAAAGCTTTCAATACACTCGTTTTATCCAACAGCAACTAGAGATTGTGACTGCGGATGTGCAAGACTTCAACACGTGTAACAGCAATTCAATGGCAATGAGTAAACCGACAGCTTCGCCAGTAATAGTAGCAGTAACAGCAGCGCCACCAGCACCAGTAATCAGTGCCGGTGTACTATAGTAGAATGACCCCCCAGCAGATGGACCCCCGGGCATTGTACTATATAGTAGAGTGACCCCGGGGGCAATCTACTATATAGTACAATGACCGGGGGGGGTCGTTCTACTATATAGTAGATTGCCCCCTGTCATTCTACTACAGAGTCCACCAGACTTGTCGTTTCGCACGTGCAGGTAGAAAGGGATGGAGTTTACACCACAGATTCCACGTGGACATTATGGATTGTGGCAAGAGTCCGGGGTTATGTACTCTTGATTGTGGGAATATGTGGTGAAAAGTCCACAACGTTTGTACATAGGTCGCGCACTTTTCCTCTTTAGGAGACATGAACATCCCACCTTGTGTTGGATTGTTTTTGTTTTGGAGTTGGAAGAAAGTTTGCAAGTTCAGTGTTCCTTTGCGTTTTCTGTGTGCTCCTTGCTCCTTTTGGATTATTCAGGAGTTCAGGAGTTCACGGACCTCTACTAAAATAGCGGCCGAGGGGGGTCGTTGTACTATATAGTAGAGTAACCCCGGGGGCAATCTACTATATAGTACAATGACCGGGGGGGGGGGGGCCTTCCACTACGGGGGTCATTCTACTATATGACACCGGCATTGTTGGAATTGATCTCCGGTTCCTCCGGCAGTCTATATATCACAATGTGCCGGCAGGTACAGAGGTCAGGGGTGTAGCTGCCTACTAGCTGATCCCCTTTTAGGGGGGGGGGGTGCGCGGCCGCATGTGTGTAGGACGGCTGATGCATGTCATTCATGGTCATTATGTGCATGATGAACCTAGGTCGAAATTTTTAGGGGATACACATGCCCGGTGCCCTATATGGGCTACGCGCCTGGGTATGTAAGTGGTGGCCGGCCACTCATAGTCACATACACTGTACCATATCACTGACCTTGGCAGAACGGATCACATGGTGTCGAGCAAGGAAAGCCTGGACAATGAAAGGTCAAAGCACAAAAATTGAGCAAGAAGCAGCTGCAATTGTGCAAGAAAGCTTACCGCAGGTTCTCTGTTATAAGCGCCGTGCCCATTTTTCAACACCCCCCCCCCCCCCCCCTCCTCCTCTACCTCGTGCTTATACCGTGCTTGTATATTTCAACCAATAACTCCATACAGAGCAAGACTGAGAAATATGCAGTAGATATCATGCATGCAGCACTGAATTCCACTGGGCCTGTGCTAATAGACCGTGCCACTAATGTCTCAAAAAGCACTCACAGTGTGCTACAGTATTGGACACTGTGCTAGAACTGCAGATCCACACTTATAAATAGACAATACAAGTGCGGTATGACTATCGCTGTGCTCTGCACTTGTGCCAGTGGTCACATACGTCCGTGTGTGTGAACATCCTGGCATCACCGTATTGAGCACATTCTCCGTTTTCTTGCAGCTCTAAGTGCACGGGTTTTCTCCCTGCTCTGGCAAATTCTTCTTGGTGTCCTTCCCAAACCATGGAAATGCAACCACTCTCGCACAATCTGGCACTATTCGTGAACATGGTATGAACATTCTTGGGAGGCGGGTGTAGCAACCAGGCTGATTGGGTTCCTCTTTCCTGTGATATCCAGGCATAATGTTCCTACATGCATCCCCGTACTAGTATTTAGAGAGCACTGGCATGACTGTCCTTGTGACTCTGTGACGCCCGGGATTGTATGGTATGTGCAAGCTGAGCACTAACGTCTTAGAGAGTCCTGGCGCACACAGTGATCTAGAGACCTATAATGCTATAGCATGCAACATAAGAGTGTGTTACCTGGATGTGATAGACAGGTGGATTGACTGGGGTCTGAACCCACAGTCCACACACAGTCTGGGTCACCTAGCTCAACACCGTTCGTGTACCCATCGCCATCGCTATCCACAGTGCATAGACCAGAGCTGTACACGGCGCCATTTTGAACAAAATCTTGACCAAACGGATTGCCACCACCTGACGGACTGCCTCCACATTGCTCAGCATGACCAACGGATTGACAGAAGCTGTCGAGCAAAGCCCAAAAGGAAAGGAAGGAATAAGAATATAATCACGCACCGTGACGTGGTAAGCGACATTGCGTCGTCAGTTGAAAATGCCAAGTCTGTTTGACCTAGAAGACCGCTCCTAAGAAAAGCAACATACCAGCACTTGAAACATTCAATATACCGGTACAGGAGATAAAATGTTGCGATTTCGGTGGTAATACCGGTATGTGCGGAAGGTGGTTGCTCCCAACATTGGAGCACGCTTCCTGCCGCCTGGTCGATACTTGACTTACACCGTGACGACTGCCGTCTGGAGCATACGAGAAGCATGCCGAACATTCGACTCTGAAAACCTGCAATCATTCACGGTGTGATTCACAGGTCAGTGTTTCGAGGAATCCACCCCTCATCTATCGAGCTTGAGTAAGCGAATTGGTCGGCTGGAAGCGCTAGTCCAACGTTCGGAGAAGACACATTCTTCATACATTATGATTGCAATGTTCATTATACCATGCTACTCAACGTAAGCAGGCCACAGCAGTAGCTTACCCTACAAACGATTCACATCCCTTCACATCCCTTCTGCTCACAATATTGAATCCATGTGGATACGACTGAAAAATCTAAAACTAACTTAGTGGTCAGAAGATACCTGACTACGAATCTCCGGCTACAAAAGGCTGTTCCTCTAACCAACGATTTGGTCATCCTCGAGCGCCCTTGGACCGACGACTGGAGCTGCTCGGGCTCAGGTGCTACTTTGCAGCTATAAACTACAGGCTGTGCTATCAACTACGGCAATCTCCTCTTCAAGCAATGACAGTCGCTGGGTATCAGAAGTATTGCTTTTTCTCACATACTTAGGTAGCGAAGTATGAAGCTACCGGTAGATCTACATGACTTTGTAGCCTCCTTTCAGAGTTCATTGTATTTTGAACTAGTTTCGACATCTTGAGCTCAGGAAAGACATCCAACAACAACTAACTATTACTTCCAAGGCAGGCAGACGCGCCAACACACCACCCAACTCGCCGCCTTGATTCATGCTTTAGCGCTAATCGTGTAGTGTATTTGTAGTGTTACTGTGTTGATCAACTGACTGCAAGACTGAGGCAGTGAGGGTGCAAAGTACAAAGTACGCGATCATCAGTCGCGCTGACTCTACACTACAGTCGCGAGCTAGTCTACTCCAGCAGTTCAGGATCAGACCACCATGATCACGGACGGTGACGATCAACACGAGCATGTCGATCGACACGGCGGCTACCAAACTGCAAACATGTATTGTTACAGCCTACACACAGGTGTGACACGACCCCTTTAGGCTTTACCCTGGTTTCACACTCAGAGTCACCATGCTCACCGTGACGGCAACATGACGTTGCCCATTCTATGGAGCTTCATGTTCCGGTTGAGTCTACTAGTAGATCTACAGTGTAATGCCAGTCCCAAATGGACTTTCCCTGGGCCTTGCTCTGGTCAGTTTGGACTACGCTGTCTTATCTCCACTCACCACACCGGCGCATACATGTAGATCTACGTGCAACCGCCACTTCGTCCCCGAGATATATAGGCGTTATCCTTTGGGTAATCCTGAAATAAAGATGGCGGGGCTCGGGGGAGTGGTTGTGTGCTATACCCATGTGTATGGTTCGTACCATACTTTGCCGCGTCCGGTGCACTGCATGGCTGTGTGGGTTACTCTGACGGATCTGAGCATGCAGGATGTCCGATAAATCCTAAATTTCGGCTAAAACTCCCTAATCCTGAGTGACTTGCCGCGGCCTACCTGCCCGGTTCCGTGACGGAGACACCGCTGATGACGATACCTTGGCCACTGGGTGCCGGAATACGACTGACACTTCCTACGTTGGGTAGTCTTGCCTGATAGACAGGAAACGCAATACACTGCTGTCGGTAGAGCAGTTCTACTGAAAACATAGACAACAGCAGCTTCACGTATGGTGTCCCCATGACTGGCTGTGTGGCTTACTCGCGCTACAGCAGGGCACGTAACGCGAAGGGCTCGTTCTTTCACCGCTTTCTTCTAGGCTGATCCCCAAGAATACAACACATGCAGAACGGTAGGCAATTCACAATTCCAAGCCAGTGCAGCTACAAATACAATTGTGGCCAGAAAATGGGCCGCATGCAACTGCGATCTTTCCGTATCAGAGCTTCTTCATTTGCCGTAGTAGCAGCGGCAAGGGTAGAGTCTATGGATTCTGTGCTCGCTGTGGTCGTGATAGTTCAGCCTACGATGATTATGTAAGCATCATGGGTTGACTTAGGGTATGATAACCGGGTACGGGTATGTTAGTTTATGGGTAGCTCTGCTTCTGTACTGCTGTGTTTATACGATCAACAGCTAGGTGCGTTGTGATACCAAGAGTCTTTGGCACAGATCAGAGTCGGTCAGTCTGAGAGTGAGAACGAAGGCCTACCGGTAGTTAGCTAGGGTGTGAGTATAAACAATGTGACACGCCTTCATACTGTTCTACTTTCAAGCATTGTTCAAGGCGTTGGAAGAACACTACAGCCTAAAGATTGCACTGAGCGTGATAAATCATTAAAACACACTAATTACAACACACTAGCATTACAGGTCGCCAGCAAGCTTGAAGTGAACGTCGGACTTGACCCTTTCACAGTGTCGGCCTTTGGGCTTAGCTGAGCAAGTGGCAGCAAGGAGGCACTTCAGCCCCTGCATAGAGCGGGGGTGCTTCTTCAATAGCCCCAAACTGCCCAAGACCGATAGGCTCGGATTGCCACACCACCGGGACTATTCCAGTCACAAACACGGATAGGATTTTAATAATCATAATCAGGCTACAGCGTGCTGCAGCCGTGCAGGGCATCTCCCAACTCCTATCCCTGGACTTGTACTACATCACTCATACAACGTTGCACATGATGTAGCGACTGGCTAGTGCTCCGCTCGCCCATCACTTCTCCTTCTACCAATGTACTTCAAAGTAGAATAGTACCATCTTATTCTACATGACTACAAGTACATCCATAACAGCAGGGTATGCTATGAAGCTGTCTCACTCATATTGGCTCATAGCTGGTCCACACTGAGGATCATGAGGGAGTTGTACAAACTCCCTGTCTAGGACCCCGCAGTAGGCCCCGAATGTCCACCCGTTAAATGCAGGGAGCGGAATTTACTTCCGCTCCTTGATGACGAGCGCTCTGACCGCGGTTTCCCCAGCAACCTACACAGAAAGCATGCATGAAGCACCTACTGTCGACATGTCCTAGACTACAATGTCATGTCATGTTCTGGAATGTTCCGGCTGGTAACCCAACCATTGCATTGTGACTGAAAGACAAGAAGATCCTATGGCGTACCGGATCCACGCAGCAGGTATGGGCACGGGTGGGTCAAGAACTACCCTCGACTCCCCTTCTCGTAGGTCGCCATGTAGACCTACCACCTCATGATCAGCATTATTTCTTATCCCTTTGGAGTCCATAGCTTTTTTGCTTCCTCGGAATTTGTGGCAGTGACGAAAATGTGCTTATAGAGGAGAGAATACTAGTCTGAGATCAGCTCAACCAACCAGAGGACCAAAGGCCTAACTAAGGTCCAGATAATTTACTGCATCCACACTCTTACCCTTGTGACAAGAAGCAAGTTCCCAATTGACTGTCAATTGCAGCATTGTTAGGAAAACCCATCCGCTTCTAAGCAGGACTGCTACTCACATCTCTCATTTCCAAACCACGGTCTCAGACCAACCCACTGATTGCCACGGCATCCCGGACTCCGTTTGCATTCAAATTCGTATACTGCCAGGAACCCATGCAACGCATCCCAGCCAGACTGATAGTCTCTCATCCTGTTTCTAACTCTATTGGATAGTAAGTTATACAGCTCCAAGCATACACCTGTATCATAACGGCGCTATGTATTTCTAGAAAACGCCATAGTTGTCTCAAGAATCACAGCAAGAATTAGGAAGGAAAACAGAATCATCGGCTTACCCAGTAGTGAATGGCAGCGAGAATTGGAGTGGCGGTGGTTTACCCAAAATAATTTGTTTCTGATAGGAAGCTGCCGGAAGCGTCCAAACGGACTAAAAGAACAACAGGGTATACATGTAAAACGGGCCGAGACACAGGTATTTGGTTATGATGCAACGGTGGGAAATCTGCACTCAGTGAGTTGGCATAGGAGGGCAGAAAACTTTAGTGAATGATTGCTGTGGAAGTAGGATTAGTCAGTGTAGAATACAATATCTTAATCTACTCAAAATTGGATATACAAGACTTACATAGTTCTGAAAAAAGACTTTTAAAAAATACTTTCAAGGAAAATAGAGACATAATAATATTATGGTTCACAACTTCACATGCTACGTGAAGTACCGGTAATCCTGTTCAGATGTCGAGTCACTGATCGATCTGAAGAAACAGCAACATGCTCCTCATACTCACAATCCATGATCCAGCAAGAGCAGAGCCACCTGGAAACCGGGTCACATAGTCCCCATATCAAACGTCTCATCTTAGCAAAAAGAGCAATCGGCTATGTCAGATCAATCACTCTTTTTCGTACAGAACGTGACTGTATGCACATGCTTGTGGGGCTGTTTAGAACTGGCTCCTTTCGCACACTCAGTGAAGCAAATGCAAAGGTCCTGAAAGGTGCCCAGCATCCGCTTGAAATTGAGTTACACTTACAGTCCCTACCAGAGACTGAGTCACCGAGTTGCAAGAACATGTAGCAACATGATCCTGATTGCAACAATCCTCCGTGTAGCCTCGCATGCCACTGGAGCTTAACACCACTGTTACGAGCGTGCGCACTCTGTGATTCGGAATCCATCGATAGGCAATCAGCATGTTGCTGTGATCAATATGCTGCACCAATGCATCACCCAATTCGACTCATAATCAAGCGGATGTTCAGTATGCTGCTGGAAGCTTTGCGGTGCGCGTGACAGCAGCAGATACCCGAGCATCGTCACCGTGTAGCCAAGATGGCAATTCCACTATTGCAAATCAGCTTCGAGGCACAACAATGGTAGCCTGTCGGTGCGCTACTTCACCATTTTCTCAAACACAGCCAACGTCGCCTTGATGCTCCTCCTGTTGTAAGAAAACTTGTCAAGGAAGACATGAAAATACGATAGCATTTCTAAACCCTCTGCTGCAAGCACAGCCTGCACTACTAAAAGCCAAGTGACTTCGAGAGTATGAGCAGAGCGGTGCTATTAACCCCAACGTCCACTACCTACAAGCTTGGAAGACATGTTCTCCGGATGGCAGTCGTGAGTTAGTCAAGTGCCGGGTTCGGCAGGAAGCGTGTGCTCCACGTAGGAGTAGCCAACTTTACTCACTACCTAGCATTGATACGTTGTATTGGATGTATGTTTGGGGGGGGGGGGTACCAACATCAGGACGTTGCCTTTGTGGGTGGATTCGTCAAGTTTGGCGAAAAGGATTGTAACAGAAATTCATGACTGATCTCTTCAAGGAATACAGAGAGCCGGCATCCATTTGAGAAACAAGCCACCACCATAGCCTCCTCCCCGGCACATAACAAATCTTACGGGCAAGGAACACACCTACAAGAACATTTAGATACTACAACATAGTCCACAACAAATTTGAAAAATGCCTTCACACGCTCCCATGCATTGCATTGCTAAGTAACTGTGCTGAAGACATTATGAATAGAAACCAAAGAACACTTCACTGAATGGCATCTACCATGGTTATGCCCATATACAATGATCACACAGCAATGTCTCAACCAAGTTCTTTTCCGCTGTTACTCAGAGTTTCGTGTGAAACACTCGTCAGACTGCAGCTGTCTGATGAGTGTTTCACACGAAACTCTGAGTAACGGCGGAAAAGAACTTGGTTGAGACATTGCTGGTTATGTCTATATACACATACGTGAACATCTGCACAGCATAGCACAGTGTAGGAGGATACAGTTGATCGGACAGTGCATACACATACTGCATGTTCTGTGAGATTTTCTCGCAGTACATTATAAGCTGATACATCATCTTCACCAAACCACCACAAGAATAGCAGCAGCAGCAATGACAACAACGACAGCAACGACAACAACGACAACAACGACAACAACAACAACAACAACAACAACAACAACAACAACAACAACAACAACAACAACAACAACAACAACAACAACAGCAGCAGCAGCAGCAGCAGCAGCAGCAGCAAACAAACACAACACAAACAAACACGCACAGGCACAAAGCATGACGTTAGGAACACATTCCAGTTTCCATCCAACAAACTTTCCTCAGCCATTCGCCATAATAATATTGACACATCTGACACGGTAGTAAAATACAGTCAAACCTCTTTAGGATGAACATCACGGGACCGATGACATTTGTTCGCAATAACAGGAGTTCTTCTTATCCATATGTTTTACCCAGTGAATACACAGGGTTTTATCCAATACAGTTACGAATACTAGTTCTTCTAAGGCAAACATTTGTCTTATCAGTGTTCTTTCTAACGAGGTTTCACTGTATATCAAATAAATACCGGGGAAAGGTAGTCTGCTGCTGAAGGCTGTCGTGTGAACACTAAGAGTCAAGGCAGGATTGCGTGAATACAACCACACAGTGCCAGAGCAAATGTTTGCTTGTGCCATCCTGCTCATTGAACAACATGTGCTGTAATCTAACTACCGTAGAATCCCGCGGATAAGCCCACCCGCGTATAAGCCCATGCCCGCGCATAAGCCCAGGGAAAGTTCGAACATCACAAGGCTTCGTCGTACAAGCCCATGGGCCTAAATTGTACCATGAGTCCATAAATTATGGACTCTTGGTCGTACCATGTACATGTATGATGATTGTACATGTACGTAGTACGAGTGTTTAGGGTTTTTTTTTTTGTTGTACATTTCAACACAATCATCGGTTGCTTTTGTATGCACAGTGGCTTTCAGCAATGTACTTCTCACTTCATTGGCACTTTTCAATAGCACAATGTTGGTGTCGGCGTATAAGCCCATGCCCGCGTATAAGCCCATGTTCTTGTATAAGCCCACCGAAATGTCCTTGTGAAACAGATAAGCCCATGGGCTTATCCGCGGGATTCTACGGTACTTCAGTAGTCTGCAGGGCATTTATTGAACCCAGCCCCAGACCTGCAAACACTGGTGCAGGGCACTGATGCAAGGTACCAACTTACTCACCAGACCCGTTTGCCTGGAGCGCAACTCTTGCATGTATAATTCAGGCCGGCAAGTCCATGCTAACTGTACTTCACAGTATATGTCGTGCTGTTGATGAGAATCCAAAGTCACATGACTACTTACAGAATTGGTAAGTGATCAAGAATAACCCTTTTACTATTAGGCTATTACTAAACTAGAATTAGTACCTGAATGGTTTCATCCACATTATCACCAAGGTCATCAACGGCACCACCGTAAGCACCAACACAGACCCGGGTTTTGCCAGAAATCTGATGACAAAGGGAGAGAAAGAGGGAGAAAGAGAGAGAGAGAGAGAGAGAGAGAGAGAGAGAGAGAGAGAGAGAGAGAGAGAGGAGGTTGAGGAGGAGGATGGAAGAGAGGCAGACAGACACACAGTCAGATAGAGAAGTAGAATGCCCGGAGATATGGCACTCGTCTTGTTGCACTGCAGCTCTTATACAGAAACCCGGCAACATGTTGCTGGCGGATCCTATGAGGCTAGGGCAAACAGAAATTGGTCTAAAACCTAAACTAGCGCTATTGGCAAGGTCACTTTCGAATGTCCACTATAATTATGTAGTTGATTCACAATACGCATAGCTGAACAACACGACTACTTCAAGTACAGTAGCGGCATGTAGGCTCTTACAGCATGTAAGTTGGCAGTGATGCTTCCCATCATGTGATGCAGGCTCTCCGCGATGTGACCCGTGGTGGCTTCCATTGCTGCCAGTGCATTCGGGTTAGGCATATCTACCAGCTCCTATGACATAAGAGTCAATAAAAGTATACACAGCAGCAGCAGCAGCAGATGTAGATATTATCAACATTTTAGATTTCTCCAGTGATCGTATAGATGCAGGCAACTTATTCCAGAGAGCGGGTCCCATATTCGACATGCCTTACCTTATTATAAATTCTTTTATAGAGCCCTGGAGCTGTCCCTCCTTCAAGACGGTCACTCTTGCTGTGTGAACATGTTTTTGCATCTATACGATCACTGGAGAAACCAGGTCAATTCCGGACCGCTCTTTTATCCCACCTGAAAATTCACTGACTAACGTTGCTCACTGATCAAATAATTATGTAATCTTTCCTCTGCTGTCTTAAAAACCCTACTCTATTTTTCTTTTCTTTTTTAATCTTTTCCTTTTTCGTTATATTTGTGTGCCTGTAGTCGATCTCATGTAATACGGCAACACTCCCTGTTTGTTCTTCGACATTAAATAAACCAGTCCAATCCAATACGGGACCAGTTTCACAGGAAGCGGGCGGACATGGCCACCTCGGTCTAACCAACCAAGGCACTAGCTTTGAGCCCGTATAACCTGCAGTCTGATTATCAGAACACTAAAGTCACGTGGAATATCATCCATTACTGTCACCCCACGGCAACCTGGCTAAAACGATGTCCATACTGTACAGACCGTGGCTTACCTCATCACTCATGGACACTTGGGTAAATGCATTCACCAGGTCTTCTTCTGCAAACATTACCGTGATTCAGTAAACACACACACACACACACACACACACATCCTGACTCACATCCTATCACAGTCTACAGCAGCAAGCCTCATCAAGCCTTCGACTTGTCTTCACCTGGACCAACACTGATACACCCCCCAAAACCACAGCACTTTGAAGTTTGAACACAGCAGGAAACTGCCTTCTTATTACCAAGTAGTAGGTGTTTGTCATACTTGGGCAGTGCACATGTCACATAGCACCAAGTGGCCCTGCATACCGACTACAATAGAGTCAGGGGCGTACCGGGGGGGAGGGGAGGCCCCCCGGGGAGGGATCGAGGGGTGCGGACGACCCCCCCCCCCCCCAGATTCTCGTCCCGCACTGCACGTGCATACGCATAGAGTACCGGTATCGTGATATCTACGCGCTACACGGTTACATGCACGCTGATGTAACCCCCCCCCCCTTTGCAGAACCCTGCGTACCGTATTTTTCGGAGTATAGTGCGCACCTTTGTATAACGCGCACCCCCAATCTTCATTGGGGGTGCGCACTTCAATCTTCATTGAAGTACATGCATTTCATATTCGGAGCATAGTGCGCACCTGCGATTTAGGGTCTAAAGTAGCACATCTAAAGTGCGCACTATACTCCGGAAAATACGGTATGCCCCCGAGTGTGTGCTTCTCCTACTTCACTCTCCAGCAATGCTTCTGCGTCTCCAGCTCCTGTCTTCGGTTGAGCCTCGCTTGGCTTTGTCCTGACCCTTGGCTTTGTCCTGACCCCATTTGACCCATTTGACACATTTGAGAACATATAACCCACTAAGGCACTATAACCAGGACTCGCTCAGCCGTCCTACAGTGCTGTCGGCGGCCGAAGAACTGGGCGGGAGGGGGGGGGGGGGGGCAGTCTCCTAGCCTAGATCGTTCTTATTTTCATGTATTACAGTCTATGCACAGTTGAGTCACCGCGTATACATTGGGATCCTGTGCTTGGTGAAATTCTAGCCTGGTCGTTCTTTGGCGCCCGACAGTACCGTAATCCAAAACGAAACCATGCTAGATGGAGTTAACGCTCTCCCTGTCGTTTATAATATTTACATGCTCGTGCTCATGTGCATGTCGTGTGCGTGCGTGTGTGTGTGTGTGTGCTTTTGTGAGTGTGTGTGTGTGTGTGTGTGTGTGTGTGTGTGTGTACCTTTGTATTTCCTGAGTTTAGCCAGTGCAGGTGCCAGTTGTATTTCACTGTCACTGATTACTTCAAATGAAGGGCTGTTCGGCGAGGGAAAGTCAGATGGCCCGCAGCTAGTGATGGCGTGCTGTAGCTCTGCCACTCCGTCCTGTTCCCAGCTCATCTTTGAAGGCAGTCCACCGTCCGTCTCGTCGCCGCCACTGGCTGTCGGTTGAGCAGCTCCATGATCTCTCGAAGCGGCAAAGTGCGCCTCCCGTCGCGTTGCTGCAAGACTGCCTTTGATATCGATCGGTGGGTGCATTGGTTTGCCACTTGTCTGAGAAAATGAAGCTGCTTGTGACGAGTCGTCTCCAGCACAGTGATCGGACATGTTTGGTAGCTGAAATTCGGACGCTCGCTGAGTGCGAGCTGTTCTTCGATACCAACCAATTATTACTTGTCGCGGCCTACGATACCGGCAGCGTCGGACTCAGTAGTACTGGTAGTAGGGGAACAACAGCTAAGGCATCTCGATGTGATACTCAGGTTTGCTAGCAGCCCAGCCCAGGAAACGGTAGATTTCATGCAGGCACTGAAGTGTTCTCAAATACCAAAAACATCGAACCTTTCAGATCGGCCACGACAGGCGTAGCATAAACTACGCTGTCAACACAACTGCACGAAAACCATGTCCATGATCACCATCAAGATCAAGCTCATGAGTCATGTAGCTGGAACCAAGAGTACATGAAACTCTTGCTGGAACCACCAACACGATTTTTGCAATATATTATAAAAATAATCGCGTTCCACGCCATATTCTGTCACCATGGTACCGTAGCCTAGTATTAGTAGTAAGCCTGAATTCAAGGAATTGAAGCACAAGATAGCGGCCAGGTACTAGGTATGTATTGTAGGGAGTAGTAAAGCCGGGCTTTTACTTTTTAGTTTTTATTTACGACTCCCTGGTCTACACTCACAGTCTACAGTACAGTCGTTGACTCAATGGGTCATTGTACAGTGTGTGTGTGTGTGTGTGTGTGTGTGTGTGTGTGTGTGTGTGTGTGTGTGTGTCACTGTGTGCGTGTTTGCGTGTGTGTGTCACGATCACGGTGTATGTGTGTGTGTCACAGTGTGTGTGTGTGTGTGTGTGTGTGTGTGTGTGTGTGTGTGTGTGTGTGTGTGTGTGTGTGTGTGTGTGCGTGTCACAGTGTGTGTACGCGAGCGGCTCCACAATCCAGTGTGTCGTTACTATTAGCTTTCATGGCTGAGGTTGTTGGTATACAGGTGTGCATTGGTGATCGATTCACATGGCTTCGCAGGTTGTGTGGATTGGGCAGTTATCTGGCACTTTATCTGTCTCATTCAGATCTTGTCCGCTATCGTTGCTATAAGTATAATACTAGTAATATAAGGGAAAATCTGTGGGTGCACATCCAGTGCATTTTCAGATTTGCGTGCTTCTCTTGCGACGGGTGTATACATGGTACATGGTACGCGCACGCATGTGTGTGTGTGTATGTGTGTGTGTGTGTGTGTGTGTGTGTGTGTGTGTGTGTGTGTGTGTGTGTGTGTGTGTGTGTGTGTGTGTGTGTGTGTGTTTCCTCAACAAGTGTTGTTTGGGGAGCTCGAGGCAACCAGACCACAGCATGGGCCAAAGAAGCGTTGGCGAGACACGATTGTCGGTGATCTGCGCTTACTGGATATTCTGGAGTCCGAGTGGTACCGGCTCGCACAAGATCACCCGGAATGGCGCAGGAGGGTCCATCAACATCGTCTTCCTCCCCCGGCACCGAAGGACTTTCACTGCACATGCGGCAGAGCGTTAAGGAGACGTGGCGATTTGAAGCGTCACCTCAAGTACTGCCCAACTCAGTAGCCTATCATCTCCACTGGAGATGGGGCGTCAAAGGTCAAGGTCAAGGTGTGTGTGTGGTGTGTGTGTGGTGTGTGTGTGTGTGGTGTGTGTGGTGTGTGTGGTGTGTGTGTGTGTGTGTGTGTGTGTGTGTGTGTGTGTGTGTGTGTGTGTGTGTGTGTGTGTGTGTGTGTGTGTATGTGCCACTGACACTTTTTGGAGGGTTCCTTTGAGAATCGCCGAAAATCTACCAAATGTTGTTGCAAAGTGCGTTCACGAACGAATGATGTTGCTGCAAGCATGACCGCTCTAGCTCTCTACTTCAGTACTTGTACAAGTGTTGTAGTACTAGTGCGTTGAAGTCGTGTGACTCGTGTCCTTTGACCTCCTCTCAATCAAACATTAGCCTTTTAGCCATTGTTACTAGTAAAATCCACAAATCGGCAGGGCGAAAAATTTGCCAAAAACGAGACTTATCGAAAAATCGCTAAGCTTTTCGCTGATTTTGGAGGGTTTCTTTGAGAATCGCCGAAAATCCACCAAATCTTCCACTATCTCACCATTTTTGAAGTCAATATGCCAACAATTCTTTTAGCCGAATTTCCAATATATTCCAAATTTGCAGCCGATTTTCGAACAATCAGCTGATTTTGCAGCCAAATCTGATGTATTTTTGAGCTTAGTGAAAAGCCGAATAGGCGAAAAAAACAACAACAACGGGCCGATTTGGGGAAAGCCTACTACAGTGCACCCCATTCTCTTTGAGACCCTCACAGGCACTCACAGGCAAAGTGGTCAGCGAAACCGTGCTTGCCATACAGGGAACTGCTGGCCCCTCTATGGGCGATGCTTACGTCTGTAGGCGCATGCATGCTAGTGTCTTTCAAGGCAGCATCAACGGAGCTTTGCCATGCAGTAGCATCGTGTTAATCGTAACGCGATGAATACTATAAAAAGGTGCACCCACATCACAAACATAGCAACCTGGAAAGGAGCTTATCTCATGTGTACAGAACGTGTTATTGTCGTTACCGTAGGATTTCAAGTGTATAGTAGACTCCTGGTATAACCAAGAGTACATCAGTCTTGATACAACGTACCACACTGTCACACCTTTGCCACCTACAGGCTTATTTGGCCGCGGTGGGAGACTTGTTGGAGATGAAAGTCAAAAAACCACCGATCATGCTCAACTGAATTTGTACAGTCACGTACTGCATGATTGAAGGTGAAAGGTGGTCTGGTGTTCCTTTAGAAAAAATATGCTCTTGCAGTCCATTCCCCAGAGAGAGAAAAAACACAATACAGTACAATCATGTCAAACCGTTTTAACGGTATGCTAAGTTTAGCATACCGTCTAGAGTGCATAAACAAGAGTATGCAGCTGTGGTTATAATGTTTATCACGTTTATGGACTCTTGATACCGTTTGACATGCGTCCGGGCACTTGTGTACACAGATATCATATGGGCCCGATTGGCAAATAACTCATCCATTTCATCACAGAAGGGCATTCGGCAGACTGGATCAAGTTACCCTGGCCAATGTACTCGTGCTTGAAGCCAGACTCTGAAACAAATGTTTGCATGTGGCATCTGTGACAATGATCTAGGCACACAACGGTGGCTATCAGGAATCGAAAACATGCTTTGAGGAATCGATAAAGTGGAACAAGAGAGCCGCAGTGTTTGAAATACAACAGTAAACAGTTAGCTAAAATTCAATAAAATAAATGTGTTTCATGGCCGGCACAAAATTCCTTCCATCAATAAAATCATAATTTTTTTTCGAAAATACCTACTTTGTGTGCTGAGAAAAAAATTCGGAATAGAGAAACCCAACGAAGGCAAATATGACTGCTGAAATAATACAGGTGCCTAAATCTGTTTTTAAAAACAGCACATTGAATGAGTTTGGCCCAGCAGTGTCCCCTCATGTACACTGTAGCTTATAGTGCAGGATACTTATGCAGCAAATACACATGGGGTCTTCAACATTACTCTCCTGAGCAAATACATGCATAGCAAGTGTTCAGGGGCGAATCCAGGAGGGGTTCCAGCGTGGAACCCCAAAGTTTCATCTATACGCTACTGGAAACCATATGCGCGTACATGTACATGTATCCGCTATGTAGTTTTGACTAAATTGGAACCTCCCTGTACTGCTGTAGAGATTGCTGGATCCGCCCACTGGTGTTCATGACTGAGGAGGTGAGAATGATGCAGGTAGTGCTGCTCATATCACACTATGATATGTACAACAGCAAGACAGGCAGACAGGCGGGCAGACAGACAGACAGACAGACAGACGGGCGGGCAGACAGACTGATAGAAAGAAAAGAATACAGAAACGTGGTTACGGAAAAACAAAGCGAAGCAAAGACTAACTATTCTTGCAGCTTCTTGTAGATGGGCGGCGCATACCGCGTGCGGATAAACTTGAGAACGTAGAGAGGGAGACAGCTGACAAGAGTGATGACAATAGTCTTCCACACAAACTCTCCTCTCAGCAGGTATTGGGAATCTGTACGAGCACACAAGAGAGGCAACACATGCTGGTAAGCTTCGTTCGTTCTTGTTAAGCTAAGAAATGAGTAGCTCGGCGGCTCTCAATTCTACGCATGGAACATGGAAAGGTAGCACATATACTCGTAACAGAGGCGGCGGACACGCGGCGCTCACTACCACCACCCCACTTCCTCCGCCTCGAGTGTAACTCAGATGGCTGACCGTACCACCCTGAAATACCATCCGACGCCCCTGAGTAACAACGGGCAATAAGAAGCCGTGCAGACAAGCTATTTCAATCTAGATGTTGGTTACTTACCAAAATAGTCTTTGAACACAGCCAGGGATATGACATAGAGCAGAAGACTGCCAATCTCGGCAACCACCATTAGCCAGTGCCATGTCCGTATAGTCAGCGCCACCATCAGCAACTCAGTCAGAATGAGAGCGGTGAACGTGATGGCAACAATGTGAATGAAGTTGGCGTCGAATAGTAGGATACCGCCGTACATCAGTATACCACCTGCATACCATGCACGCATGCACGCACACACACGTACACACACGGACACACACACACACAAATACAGTCGAAGAGTTTCAACTTCCAAATCCATACAGTCTACACGTGGACAAGTAATCAGCTTCACGTAGTGACCAATATTACACCAAATATTCACCCTGCAAGCTACAAGCACTCAGCAAAAGTTACTCACCTTGGTATGTACTGATCAGCACCCACTGTAAAAACGTCTTCAAATTCAGCGTGCGACCCTAGAGCATGGCAGTGAAACAGAGCATGCAACACACAAGTCAATTAGCCTCCTTCAACGCACGGCAATATTCCGTGAACACAAACTAGAAGATAGATAATATTATGTTGTTGCTGTTTGGAGCATGAAGTACAGTGGCGGCCAATGAAATCCGATCGCGTGAATCAACTTTGCATCCTGCACCCAGTTCGCATCCCAGCGTTTGCAGGTCTACATTATAGGGCTGCACAGAGCCCGGTGGCGGCGTGAAATTCACCCGCTTGATCGGATTTCATTGAGTAGCATGAAGTGCTATGAGAACGTAGATGTAGATGTGAACATAGACGATCATAGTTGCAATGACATGTTGACGTGCAAGCTAATGTCATTCTCAAATACGAAAACATACGAGAATCACTCAAGAACAGAAAGAGAAAGGCACGAGGAGTACTGCCGGTATTGGAGAACATGATGAAACGATTAGAAGTCAGCATTGTGCACTCATGTATGCGTTACCTTCATCAAGACTTTATAGAGCTCAGGGTACATGAGAGCGGTCTCATCCTTCACATCCTTGTCCAGCACCAGGGAGAAGACCGGCAGCATTGTGTAGAATGTGTTGTAACTGTACATGTAGACACACACACACACACACACACACACACACACACACACATACACACACACATACACACACATACACATACACATATACACATCAAAGACATGATAGCAATCGTACACTTGCTGTGAGTCACTGAACACAGAGTAGAACACAAAGACCGTACCAGCTAAGCAACAGGGCAAAAATTGAACTTGCACACAACACAGTTTAAAACTGCTTACCCAACAAGAAGAAATCCTTCATAGAGAGGTATGGAGACAAAGAGAAACACAGCAGAGAAGACTGCCTGCAGCGGGCACAGCACATCCATAAGAAACAGGACAGGAAAGAGCGAAACATTCCTTAGATAGAGGAAACCACCCACCCAAATATTCACACTCACCAAGTTCTACCACACAGTGGCATAAAAAATTAAAAAAAGTAAATCATCGTGTCCGTTCCTGAAGGGAACTCACGACGGCTGCTAACACCCGGTAAACCCTACACAGTGGCATAGAACCCAAGTCAACTAGCAGACACATAATAAGGACGGGCTGCTGTGACGCAAAGCGCTGCTGCACTACAGTACAGCTGTACTGAGATAGGACAAGTGGAGACTATCGCACTGCACTTACCTGCATGACGGATATGATCAAGCCGCGGTGCATGACAAAGTGACTGAGAGCGGCCGAGCACTTGTAGCTGTTCCGGCCATGCCATACCAGCAGCCGACCAACGTTCTTGAACTGTGTGATGGAGAAGTCTGAAGCCAGTGAGGCTTGCTTGCCTTCCTATTCACCAACAATGATGGGTACAAGAATGGACAGGAGGAGGCACACGTGTTTTACACCAGGCATATGCTACTGCACACTACATGTACACCAGCACTTGTACGCATGTGCACATGCATAGACTGGCAGGGAGTGCATTCACTTTAGTCGAATGCCAGGTCAGATGTCCACAACGCGAGCAGTGTGTGCGTATGCAAGCTTTCCAGACTGCATGCACCAGCTGGTCTACCCACCTTTCCAACAATGCCAATGCCTGCATCGGCAGCTTGAATCATGCTGACATCATTTCCTCCATCTCCTGCAGAGTAAAGGAAGAAAACGATACAAAAAATGATTCTCAACCACTGACAGTATTCACACTGCCAATACAGTACATGGTGACACAGTGTACACGAGAGGTGAACAGTTCCAAAAGAACAACACTGCTCAACTCTAGGGACCTCTGCTTCACTCCATTAAACAATTCTACAGGATAGGAACAGAGGTTCAACACCTGAAAATGGCTGACAACATCAGAGGCAAGCCACTGTGACATTATTATTATTATTATTATTTAGGGGCGGCTTTATTGGTTTCGTGTCTGGGTTATGCAGCATCCCGGGCCACTTAAGACCATGGGGATTATTATCAAATTTTTAATAGGGATGGTGTCAGTGCTACCCACCGATGGCTGCGACTGGTTTGCGCGTATGCTTCTTCAGTAGGTATACAATGGAGGCTTTCTGGTCAGGTGAGCACCGGCAGACAACAACGGCAGGCGACTGGCATGCCAGCTCCACAAACTCACTCTCATAGTGCAGCAAGCATATCTAGAGCAGCGGGGGAATGAGCACACAAAACAGAATACAAGCAACGGGCATGAGCAAATCAATGGCAGTAGTTCCCCGGCTGTCAGGACACACGCAACGGAGAAACCCAATGAACAAAAATAGTCAAAAACTGCAATGTGTGTACTGTGTATGTGAAACCCAACACAAACACACACTCAGTGAGGGCCTACATACAACACACCAGATGCATGCACCTACAGTCCTACACACTCGTGTCCACGCGCCGCACACGCACACACATACGCACATGTTGATTGTTCTCACTTCCACCCACAAAAGGACAACTGCATACAGATAACGGCTGTGCAGTAACAGCATGGATAACAACTGTACAGCTGCTATACTCTCAAAGAGAGAGAGAGAGAGAGAGAGAGAGAGAGAGAGAGAGAGAGAGAGAGAGAGAGAGAGAGAGAGAGAGAGAGAGAGAGAGAGAGAGAGAGCTACTCTCACACTACAGAGATTTACTGAAGTACTAAGAACCCACACTATTAAAGTACATGCATAGCTGTATGTATTGTATAGCCCTTCTAGAAACCGGATGCCAATGGCTTGTTTACAGAGCATGTGTACCTGTACTCCATAGCATCTTACCTCCAGAGCTTGACCCGGTATGACAAGAGCAGCACCGCTGCGGCGTCGGAAAGCGTTCAACTCTCGATGAGTGTCGGCACGATTGGCCACTTCACCGAACGTATGCATAGGCTGATCGCGACCAACCAGGCGTGAGCTGACAGCTATACACCGCGCTGTTTCCAACTTATCACCAGTCAACATCCATACCTATGAAACAAAAATGACAAGCGAAAGCTGTGAGTGTGATGTCAGTCTTCCGGAACCATCTGCATGCACGCTACTGCAATGGCCCCACCTGGTAACAGCTGTGTGTGTGTGTGTGTGTGTGTGTGTGTGTGTGTGTGTGTGTGTGTGTGTGTGTGTGCATGCATGCATGTGCATCTGTATGCGTATGTGTGCATCTGTGGGCAAATGTGTGCGTGTGCGTACGTATGTGTGTGTGTGTGTGTCTTTGAAGTACAACCCCTTCCAGGAGGTGTCTTTCGTCAAAGCCAGACGCAAAGCTGGAGCCCAGGACAGGCCATCCACCAGTACATGTACAACACAGCCACTCACTTTTATGCCTGCATTGCGCAATAACTCCAGGGTTGGTCGGACATCCACCTACACGACACCGACAGGTAGAATCATGAACACAAGAACAGCAAAATTAGTTTACATGCCGCTTGAGATCAGCAGATTGAACCGCAGCAGGCCAGCAGTCCACAACTTCACCTAAAAATAGTGCTGACTGAGGATTCCCTGCACACATCACTCACTTGTAATTTATCCTCCACTCCGGTCAAAGCAAGCAACTGTAGATCAGTTTCGATTGTGGCAATGACCCGGCGCACTTCAGTGTCACGGTCGACCACATTCAGCTGAGCTTGCTTCAGACGACCCTGCGCAAGCAAGAACGCAAAAAAAAACAGAGCAAGACTGGTGAACACAGTGGTGGCACGGTGCTTCAAGAGCGGACACTCGTATCACAGCAGGCAGGCAAACAAAGTAGGCTCCCTGACAAAATGGAACAGAGCACCAAGGCACCAACCAAGGCACCAACCAAGGCACCAACCAAGGCACCAGCACCAAGGCACCAGCACCAAGGCACCAGCACCAAGGCACCAGCACCAAGGCACCAGCACCAAGGCACCAGCACCAAGGCACCAGCACCAAGGCACCAGCACCAAGGCACCAGCATCAAGGCACCAGCACCAAGGTACCAGCACCAAGGCACCAGCACCAAGGCACCAGCACCAAGGCACCAGCACCAAGGCACCTGCACCAAGGCACCAGCACCACCAAGTATGATAATGCTCTCTACAGCAAATCTCTGAGAACAGGGCGGCTTAATTGTACTTTGTAGTGAAATCACAAGCACAATGCAATCCTTTCTGTTTCCTGTTCACCAGAAACTAGGTTACCGTTCAGCTACCAAGATAACAATGGTGGGATTGTCATCACACACTACGGCCACATGCCACATGATTTCTACTCGATCAAGCAAGTCAACTTTGCAACATGACACCAACCTCAAAATCCTTGTACTGCTCCTCGCTGAGAGACTTCTTGGCAACAACCAGAGTGCGCAGTCCCTCCCGAGCCATGTTACCACACTGAGTCACAACAAAACAGAGAGAGAGAGAGAGAGAGAGAGAGAGAGAGAGAGAGAGAGAGAGAGAGTGAGAGAGAGAGAGAGAGAGAGAGAGAGAGAGAGAGAGAGAGAGAGAGAGAGACAGAGAGAGGTACACCGTAAGGATGATGCACACACGCACCCCCTATTGGATACAAAATGCATGTTCGGGGTCTAATGGCAGGGGCGAATTTGGCCCGATTTTGGTACAAAAGGCGGCTTTGACCCCAACAAGTAGGGTATACTGTTAAATACAGTGTATGGACAAACACACACACACACACACACACACACACGCACACACGCACGCACACCACAGAAACCACAAACAATGACACTCACTTCTTCGTCAAGCCAGTCATTGTACTCCACCATCTTGGTGAGGACGACATCAGCACCTTTCATGTAGAATGTGATCTCATTAGTGGCACAGTCCTGCATATATACGTCACACCCAAATCACAAAGTTGGCTTTGAACCGTAGATGAGATAATAATTAAAAAAGTCTTATAGAATAAGCTGCGCCGTCATCACTGGTACAAATACAACTACCTGAGTTACTGAGCTGAGCTGAGCTACCTGGCAACATGAAATTCTGCTAACAAACACAGTTCCCGGCACCAAGTGTTTGCTTAAAGTGGGTAGAAAAAAAAAGAAGGATGCCTGTCCACTCTCTTACCCTCACAATGATTCCCATGCGCTTAGTTTCCGACGAGAACGGGAACACCTGCAGGATATCAAAGCGAAGACGCTGGTTGTTTGGAGCACGCAGTACAATGTGTTGCTGAGACCGTTCAACAAGAGCCAGTCCAACGCTCTCCGTCCAAGATACGAGAGCCACCTGTGGAGCACAAACACCAACAGAGGCAACACCATTTTACAAACACCAACAGAGACAACACCATTTTACAAAACACCAACAGAGGCAACACCATTTTACAAACACCAACAGAGGCAACACCATTTTACAAACACCAACAGAGACAACACCATTTTACAAAACACCAACAGAGGCAACACCATTTTACAAACACCAATAGAGGCAACACCATTTTACAAACACCAACAGAGACAACACCATTTTACAAACACCAACAGAGGCAACACCATTTTACAAACACCAACAGAGGCGTGGAGAAGAGGTTGGTGCGACTTCGGCGATAGTTGGGGAAGTGTGTGTTGCTCCCTACCGAGGCAACACCATTTTACAAACACCAACAGAGGTAACACCATTTTCACTGCGTACCAAGATTATAGTAAATGTACATGTAGTAGGACTGTTGTGTATGCAGATATACAATCACGGCTGTATGTGTACTGTTATGCTCCCGGCATCATCACTGGTGCTGTACACGCGCATATATGCACATGAGGTTGCATATAATAGTGGCCACGTCGAGCTTTGCACCAGACTCGTTCGCTTAAAAAGAAACCACTCACTTCATCAGGACTAGACGCTTGGTACGTGACGGGCACGTGGGAGTCAGCCGCGAGCGCACCGTGATTAGCGGAGAAGGACGACTCCATGTCTGCACTGTTCGAGGCCTGCGGCATGTGAGCAGTGTCGGCGTCATCGACCACCGGCGTAACGTTGTGACAGAGCGCTATGGCACGCACGGCATCGTGAGCGCGGGATGCCTCGGTCTTGCGAGCCTATCACCATGGGCAAATGACACAATACAACAACGGCAGTGGTAAGAAGTGAAGAGTTGGTAGTGAAGATAAAGCTGCCCAATCCAATGAGTGCTTGACCGGAAAAGCCTAAACGAACCGCGGCATTGTTCGACCTATCCCAAATGTCAGCAGCTATCTACAAATTAGAACTCTGATGTTGAGAGTGAATACTGTCAGTGCTGTGCCAAGCTAATCCAGGAAAGTCTTCATCCCAGGTATGTCAAGCTCTCGTATTAGTCAAACCAAGAACAAAGGAAATTCAAACAGGGATTCATAAGTGAGCATGTCGGCAACACAACACCGACACGGTGTTTGTAAATAGACTCAATAACCATCCCCATTCAGTTTGATCGATTAATTTCGGCTCCAAAACTGCTGCTGGCAGCGGAATGAGGTCAGGCTGAACCAGGTGAAAGATCTGCTCAGAAGCGAATGTGAACATAATTACCTAGACTAGTACTGTTGTAGATTTCCGGGGAGAAGTTGAGCTAACAAAAGTGTCACACACAGCTTGTGTATAGTGCTGTACTGTACGAGTATACAAATGTACACACTGTAGTAGAGTGACTACTCACCTTGCCAGAGCGAGCACCATGCACTGGACCGGTCTCACCAGCAGGGTACGTGGCCGAAACATGGCTCACAATCTGCGGTTCAACATCAATCACAACACAGGCAACTAACTTAGAAACGTACAGCTTAGCCGACAGCACACATGAAAAAGAGCAGAAGCGGTGAGCCGAGTAGACCACTGAGTGGCTGTACCATGTATACCTATTAGCTAATCTTGATATTTAACCTCAATGATCGCCAGGTGTGATGAACAGTGTACTTGGACACGAGTACAAGTACATCCCAGGACCAATCTGTTGCGAAACTCGATACGCTTATTATTTGCACCCGTTGTTGTCTCTGGTCTCGCTGTCTCGTCCTGTCCGGGGTCAAATATGGTCTTCTGTCTGTACGAGTGTGGTGCGTTGTGTGCAGTATATGGGTGTGGTGCGTATGACGTGGGATATGTGGTGTATGTGTTGTCAGAGTGTGAGGATCTGCTTCCGTCTGTGCGAGTGCGTTTGTTGACTAGTTGTTGCGCATGCGTGGACTATGTGGAGCATGCGCTGTGCGAGTAAGGTTCGGGTGCGAGGGAGTGGCGTGATTCGTCCACGGTGTTGTTGTCTTGGTTCTTGTCACGTGTATCGTACGTACTGGTCGCTCATTGGTCGTCTCGATGTGTTCGCCCTTTTCTCTGTTTATAACTGTTGGTTGTTTATTATTTCTTTGTCTTTCGTCCCCGTTCTCTCGCCCACCAGTTTGTGAGTTATAACAGTGTAATATTCTTACCGAACCTAATGAGTCAGAGAGTCGTTGTGTGGCGGGGGGACAAGGGGGCGGGGGGACAAGGGAGCGGGGGGACAAGGGAGCAGGGGGAAATACCACAACAAATCTACAGTGCTGGCGACTGAAATCCGACCCCCTGATCAGCTGAGCGCACCGCTCAGGGGGTCGGATTTCTGTTGCCAGCAGTGTATGTCCCCTATCCATGCTGGCACAATGTACACTGTTTACAAGAATGCTATCCTACTCACTGTAACTCGCAATTCATACACTACTAATAGGTGTGTAGAATAGATTTCGTCTCCAGTTTCAGGTATCCCAGCAGAACGCACAGCAGCAATGTGCTCGGAATCCAAGCCCAGTCACCACCTTACCTCATCCACAGTATCAGACGTATAGGAAGCAGTACCAAGGTGCAGTCGCTTGAACACCTACAGAGCACCAACAATCGGCAATGGCATGTGCCGTCGGTCAGGAAAATATAAATTATTTATTCCCGTAGCTATGCAGAAGACGTTACTTCAGTAACGTCTGGCGCTAGCCAGGGTCCACACAGCTTTAATTTGGTGTTTGTTTGTGTGTTTGTTTGTGTCACGCCTGGCGCTATCCGTATCTGACGGCAAAAAAGCATAGGATGTTATAAATTTGTCAATTCTCCTTTTTTTTTCAGGCATATCCTGGGATTCGAACCCGCACTATCGCCTTACATGCATTCCCCCATACACTTCGCATTCACAGTTCATACCCATTCTTCCAAGTTGCTTTACGTTATTATCTTGCGTTTGAAAGCCTTATTTGAATATTGCGGGCAACTGTATGTGGCCAGCTGTGTTTGATGGTACGGTACGGTACGGGAGACGGTGTCGTATTACCCTCGATCGTACCTGTCCCGTACCTATCCCCTACCGTACCGTGCCATCAAAGACGGCTAGCGGCTGGCCACAATGCATATTCAAATAGGGCTTTCAAATGCAAGATCACAATGTGAAACAACTTGGAAGAATTAGTATGTATGCGAAGTGTATCGGGGGATGCATGCAGGGCGCGCGATAGTGCGGGTTCGAATCCCAGGTTATGTCTAAAAAAAAAGGAATTTTTTAAAACATCCCTATGCTTTTTTTTTGTCTAGGTCATCAAGGCAGAAAAGCATAGCGTAGGGCCCTGAGCTTCCAAGCTCTCTCGTTTGAAGTACAAATGTTCATAACGCAGACACAAAGGAATTGCTCTAACAAAAACATGCTTCAGTACACGAACATTGCAGTAGAGCACAAACACACACTTCAATAAAACAAAACAAAAACACAAACACATACACATACACACACACACACATATACACACACACACACATATATACACACACACACACACACACACACACACACACACATACACATACACACACACAAACACACGTACACACGTACACACACAACTCACCATTTCATTCTGCGTGAGTGTGCCTGTCTTGTCAGACAGCAAGTACACAATGCGTCCGAGTTCCTCGGGTATGGTACTGCTACGCACCACCGTTCCATCTATTTGCTTATCACGCCCGATGGACCAAGAATGGAAGATTTTAGACAGGTCCAGATTCACACGGAGGCTGAAACACAAACAGAAGAAGACAATCGTATTGCATGTAAGATGTCATTGCAAAATCGAACACACAGAGCCTCTTGCAACACCAGTGATCACTGCTCTGAAAAGCAGTATAGAAATTTGCTACAAAATTGAGAAGCAAACTATATCACTCTATGCACGGCAAATACACACACGCACACACACACACACACACACACACACACACACACACACACATACACACACATGCGCACACACACACACACACACACACGTACCTGATAGGAATGATGGACGAGAAGAGTAGTACAAAGCGAAAGAACTCGATGTGTGCACCACTGACGTTGAGACCCTGGAGCAACAAACAGAAACACACATGATGTGTATATAAAGTAAACATACACACACGCACACACATGTGTGCACAGGCTGCAACACAACAGCGGTACATGTACGAGAGAACAGCTCCAACTGAAGTTACTGTGGCTGGAGTAATACAACGCAACAGTGGAAGTCAGCCCATTACTTATCTACATGAAGAGCTGACATGCGAAACCCGCTATTAAAGCACAAAAATTGAGAGAAGTGCTGGAGCTACGTGTCAGGTCGTTGAATGTCTCAGTACTCCTTGTCAGGTTTGTGCCATTTTGTCGCACTCACTGACTATATGATCTGGTTACGTTGGTGGACTGTTAGTCATAACTCGTAATATTTTGTCCTTTGTATTTATCCATGATTACTTTGGCTCAGCATCCGAGTTTAAAATTTGAGAAAATGAGATTTTCAGCTCAGTGTGCTAATCAAAGGGTCTCCGGGCACCACCAGGCAAAATTTCACATTCAAAATCTGACTAGAACCATTTCAAAACTGGAACTTAAATATGGATTTAGATACAAACCGCACATAGAATGAATCCCTTTCGGCCATTCTCCGAAAAGCGATGACATGGATTTATGGGGTACTAGCTATGCTAGTATTCGTTAGCAACAATCCGAACTAGCACACACGCACACTGCACTACTTTTCTTTGCAATGCATTCAAGACTGACATCATGTGCTTTTTGCTGTGTGCCGTACTTCTGCACATATAAGCGCATGTGCTTATGTCCGGACATAGGCGCATCCCCAATTATAAGCGCATGGGATGCTACCCGAACATGTTCAGACAGCAAAAATCTTTTTGTAGCAAATTTTCACTTATAAGCCTGTGCGCTTATACCGTATTTCCGCAAATAAAAGGCCGTCTTCGTATACAACGCCTTCCTCGTATACAAGGCAGGGGCAGGGGGCGATTGAAAAAATAAAAGACCGTCTCCGATTAGAAGACCGGGCCTACTAAATGAGTCTTTGTTCTTGTGTTAAAAATAGAAGACCGTGCTCAAACTGTGGGAAAAAATAGAAGACCGTGCTCAAACTGTGTAGAAGAAAATGGAAGAACGGGGGTAAAATTGTGTGGCGAGAAATAGAAGACCGGGGTCAAACTGGGTTGAAAGAATAAAAGACCGTCCTCGAATACAAGACCGTCCTCGATTATAAGGCCGGGTTAGGACGAGGTTGAAAAAATAGTAGACCGGCCTACTATTTGTGGAAATACGGTATGTGGGGAAGTACGGTAATCACAAATGGCACCCCATTGACCCATTGACAATATTCTGAGCGACGCAGATGACAAAGCGGCATTCATCGATGACGTCTTGTAGGGAGAAACAGAGCAGGGCACCACTGCCTCCGCCACTAGTTCAAGTGATGCGGACTCATCCAATCTCTGCGCTCTCAAGCGCGACGAGGTGCACTCGGCTTTGTCGGCCGCCATTACGGAGAGTGTTGTGCCACTCCTCACCCAAGGCCAAGGCAATGCGGCTGCTACCGCCACTACGCCAACCCAAGACTAAGGCTCCTACAACCCGCCCGATCAGCCACCCGCACCAGCAGTGCCCAAGGTCGTACAGGAACGCATTGTGCAAGGTGAGTTCCTGGATTCCTCAAGCTTATTGCCTGAAGTTCTTGCAGCCCCCGTTCACACCTCTGGCAGAACATTCTGGCTGGTGCATGATCCGAACAATGACAGTCGGCTAAATATCGTAGAGTCTGATGACGTGAAGCAGGTGCGCTGCAAGGTTCATGACATCACAGCAACCTCGCTTGAGGCATGGACCGCATATATGGCTATAATAATGGCTGCTGCCCCACCCACACCACACCACACCACACCACACTGCCGAATTGCTTGCGTATCAGCAGCTCATATTGACCGCTAACCGTCAGTTCTACCCAGGAGCGTGGTTAGAGTATGACCACCAGCCGCGGATGCTCGTGGCCCAGCAACCAGGCATGCAGAGGTTGGACCACATTGACGTGAATCTGTGGCAGATAGCCTTCACAGGATATGCACGCCAAACATGTGCTCACAGCAAGTTGGTCCATCCAGGGACGGTTTGTGTCCTTTTCGTTCCCAATCCCAATTCCTCAAGCCAGCAGCACTTATCTCTAGTGGCTACACCCATACCAGCGACGGCCAAGAAATCTGCCACAACTTCAATGGAGATCGCAGTTCATCGTCGTCGTGCCGTTTCTCCCACACCTGCAGCCAGTGCGGCAAGGATCCCCCACCCCCGCATCAGGTGCAAACACCAGCAGTGCGCAACCAATCGGTCACCATGCCGCTGCCAGTAGAATGGCCACTGAATCACTCGACTCTGTACATAGCTTCTTTCCTATACACTCTTCCTACACCCCATTACTAGCCGACCACTTTGCCCGCCTGTTGCGTAGCCAACCAGGTAGGTCATTTGTTTCGTACGTTCTCAATGACCTGCGTCATGGTTTCGCTCTTGGTTTTGCCGGACAACGCAGCATTTCTGTTTTCTCTGATACTCTGCCCTCGGCGTTCACTCAGTCTGCATTTATTTCCGAGCAATTAACTGCTTCTTGCGCCCGAGGCGAGACCGCATGTCCATTTCCGTCTCATCCACTTCAGTTTATGCGCTGCTCTGGCATCGGTGCCGTCCCCAACAATAACGGCAAACTACGAATGATCCACCATCTGTCCAGGCTGGAAGGTGCCAGTACGAATGACAGCATTCCCGCCGAGCAGTTCTCTCCGCATTACCGTGAGCATTGACGACGCGATCAACATCATGGCATGCCCACAGCCTGTGTATCTGTCCAAGCTCGATATTCGCAGTGAATTTCGCCAGATCCCTGTGTGCCTTGAGGACTTCCAGATCTTCGCATTTAATTTTCTTGTCTCACGAGAGAGTCAGTCCGGAAGACTTTTCAGCAACAAAGGAGACACCACCACCGCCCTCAAAGATAACAGTGTACATGTAGATGCAGCTCCATAAGTGGTGGGAGGTGAGAAGATGAGATCCAATACACAAAGTGGTTGACTACAGTCCATTCCATATAAGTGTGCACTCTTTTCCAGTCAAAGGGCCAGTGTGCACTCTTTTCCATCCAGTCAAAGGGCCATTGTGTATGGGGGCATACACAATGGCCCTTTGACTGGATGGAAAAGAGCGCACACTGGCCCTTTGACTGGAAAAGAGTGCACACTTATATGGAATGGACTGTAGTAAAAATCTCATTCATTGCATCCGTGTCGCCCCCATGCATCCATGCGTTGCACTTGCCTATCAGTTTCAAACAAACAGAAGCACGATGACACAGTGAGCTAAGACGCGATATCGGCTGTAATGAGTGAAGAAGGTGGCTGCTCCTAACGTAGGAGCTTGCGCTTCCTTCCGACTGACTGACACTCAACTGACCCACGGCTGCCGTCTGGACCACACGAGAAGCACGTCAGTCAAGTGCCGAGTTAGTCGGTCGGAAGCGCGAGCTCCAGCGTTCAGAGCAGCCACCTTCTTTTAAATAAAGTGAGCATCGACAATAATCCCCAGCCCAGCAGCCATCTGACAACACACTTACTCTCAGGGCAATGAGCGAGAACGACAGCGCCATTGTCAGCAGGAACAGGACTTTGGTCAGACGATTGATCTCCATGTCAATACGGCCAATCTGAACACACAATACCACAGGCCAGGCACGATACAAGTGGATACCACCACAGAGAAAGCAAAGTGGAGCCACGAGTAGTAGGCGGGAAACTGGATCACAACTACAGCACTGCCGGATGCCGAAGAACTGGGGGGGTCAGCCTCGTAGCCTAGGCCGTTCTTACTTTCATTGTACTATGGCCTGTGCAGAGTTGAGTCACAGTGTAATAGTGAATATATATCGGTACGCTGTGCTTGGTGAAAACCTAGCCTGTTCGCTCTCCGGCACTCTGTTCTTCGGCACTCGGCAGTGCTGTACTAAGATAGAGTGAGACTGCATACAGTAACTACAACACACAGTAGCACTGCCATGTTGTAAACAATACAATCACGTACAGTGTATTTGTATTTATTCAACATTTCCTGGCTCGTCAAACGACTGCCAATGACAAATGAATGTGAAATGAAGGTTGATAGCCAACCACGGCATGTACAGTAACTACAACACACAGTAGCATTGCCATGTTGTAAGCAATACAATCATGTACAGTGTAGTGCTAACGCAGTGATTACCGCCCTGGCAAGATCATGACTTGGTTCAAGGCTGACAGACATGATGAGAGCGTTACCTTGGTTTGCGGAGTGGATGTGTTCATAGCAGAGCGTGTTTCATGTCCAGTGTACATCACCAGACCTACCGCAGTACCTACACATGCACATACACACATGTAAATGCACACACAAGTTTGCAAAGGAACAAGGCTAAGTTTCGTTGCTACTCTGCAGTTTCATGGCTTAGTCGGCCAATCATCACACAACAACTTGTGCATGCACATACATATTTACATGGTCATATGCACACGCACACTCACGTGCTCACACACACACACAATGACATATATATACACACACACACACGCGCGCGCGCACACACCCACCCACATCCTACACAAAACATCCATTACTACACCAGC